TAAAGGCGTAAAACATTTTTGAGATAACAGCATACTCTAAATCCAGTTGGTCTCCTTTAGGAGAGCTAGTGAAACCATGGAGCTGACACACCTGTTAACTTTCCATGTTCCTATTGATTCAGTGGGTCTTGTTGGGAATAAAAGTTGGCTTGATATCCTAACCATTTACTTTCTGATGAAGAGAGGAAATTTATCATTTCCTGTCACCTAATTTTGGCTTTTAAAATCTTCTTTTCTGTCCATTTTGTTTACCAGACAAGCAGGAAGGTCTAATGTGCCATCACACCCTACCATCAGCTGTGTTAACTATGTACCATCTGATTTGGTATCTTCTTATAACCTGCCAAAACTTGTTAGTACATTTCTAGAGTTTTGTAGGATAAACTATGAAGAGTCTGGCCAACCTCAACTATGTAATGGATCCCTGCATAAGCTCCTATGGCACTCCCTCGCCAAAGCTAAAATGTCCTTTTCACTACTGTATACTGTTTTGTACAGGAAATCCTGAGTTTTAAGCAAAAAGATAATGTTTGATTTCGAAGGTGTTCATTAGGAACATTGATTTGATCTGTTAATTACATTGTCGCAGTCGAACTGCAAAACTGAAAAGTTTGCATTAGAAAACATGAGGCTTGCACTGGAAGACGCTGCAACAGTCCTACAAAATTTGGTCATACATTTTGGAAAGACAAAGGCCAGTAGGACCCCCATTATGGGTGACCGTCGTAGTGATGCTAGGGATATGAATCTTGATACCTGTTGTTCTCAGACAGAAACTCTCCTCACAGTGAGATTTTTCTGTGTCAGATTTTTTTCCTCCTCAGAGAAGTCTCATGGGAAGTCTCATATGATTTGTCAGAAGGTCCAGCCCCACTCAAGGAGGCACAGTGGGGAATCAAGCTCCCAACCTCTGGCTCCGCAGCCAGATGCCTAAACCACTGAACTCTTCTTTTTGAGGGCATGGTGGTGTTTGATTTCGTTTCCTTTTTTTGCATTCTAGTCATCCATGAATATCAGCACATCCCCTTCTATTTTATGACCAGTTTCCTCCTAGATACTTGCACTTCCAGGACTTCCAGTTCCTTCTTTAGTTTTTGTAGTTGTACCCTGTTTCCCCAAAAATAAGGCCTAAGCTGAAAATAAGACCTAGTATGATTTTTCAGGAGGCTCATAATATAAGCCCTACCCTAAAAATAAGCCCCAGTTAAGTGAAGCCCCACCCTCCACCATTCTGCAGCAACCAGAAGAAGATGACGTGGCTGTATTTGAATAAATGTAGAGTGTTGTACATGAAAAAAATAAAATAAAACATCCCCTGAAAATAAGCCCTAATGTGTTTTATGGAGCAAAAATTAATATAAGACCCTGTCTTATTTTCGGGACATGATAGCATAGATTTGAATGATACTTATGTTTGGTATTTTGACAACCTTTCCATGAACTCATTTTTCAGTCACACTGCATTGTATCTCCTGACTTCCAGGCTCACAATTCAAGTCCCACTGTTTCTTCTGAGGCTATCAATTCAGCACTTGGTAATTCTATGTTTGAAAATGTCCTATTTCATCCCACTTTAGACCATTCATTCCCATTATTACCACATCTAAACTTCTCATTTTTTATTTTACAGTTGCCAATCTTCTCTTGATCTATTCTTCTCGTATTGTACATTCCAACAATACCCGCTTTGCAGCTTCAGACTTTCCTTTTGGAAACCGTAGTTTTAAAAGTAACTTTTCACTTTTCCAAATTCTGCCCTAAAACATATTTATCTTCTCAGCCATCTAAACCTTAGACAGAGATTCTCTGATTTCACCCACTTCATCCTCAGTGATTTCCTATAGCTGAACTAGAATAAACACAAGCTAAAGAGTACCACCATCAACAATACTGTAGAAGCAGCTCACTCACTACTGTTTAAATTAACGGGATTGCTTGCCGGTAGAGATTTGGTGAAACAGCTCCCCTTGAATTAATTGCATCACCACATTTTGCCTCCTGTCCCTTTCATCCAGGCTCCAGTCAACAGTGGCCTGAGCAGCTAAAGAAACTAAAAGCTAACCAATTGCAGGAGATTATTCTATTCAGTATTCAATTTACTGCATCCTACTTAAGTGCTAGCAAAACAGTATAAGCTTTTCTGTAAACATGTCCTCAGCCCCATAATGAAGTGTGGATGGATTTTGCATTACTATGCAAAGATAAACAGTGCAACCTTGCTATAAAATAGTTTCATAAAATGCATGCTACTTTGGTTTGGGAAGCCTTTAATTTGCATAAAGAAATACATTATAGAAATTCCAGTAAAATAGGGTTATCTAGTTAATATCCATTTTCAGAATAGCTCGCAAGTGTCAGATTTATGGTCCCGTAATAATTCCTGTGCTTTGTGATTCCTGTTGATCATAAAAGTCCTACTGTGAGGCTAGTAGAAAGATAGCCAAATCACCATCTAAAGTGGCTCATACATACACTTAAGAGCATAAATAGTGAACGGAACGAGGATGTGGATGCAAATGCATGTTTCATAGAGGTATATTTTCTAAGGAACTGTTTTTTATGTTTGTTTTCACCATTTTTACTGTAACTTCATAAAGTTCTTTATATAAAATCTTTTAAACACCAATAAACTATTGAGTCTGGCCTCTTGCGAAGCTTTCTCCAAGCTTGATTAGCAACAGTTATCTGGATGCTGCTGCACCCTCAGTAACTGTCTGCTCAGCACACACAAGACCCCTAGGTGGTTCAAGACCAAGAGATGGACAACCCACCCTCACAAAGAAATTCTATAAATCTGTGCCAATGTGAACAGGGCTTTGGTGGCACTCCCTGTTTGTTGCCAAGTAACATATGAAACAGGTCCAACCTTGTGAAATTGTGGTGGATATTTGTGCATTTGTTTTCCTTACGTAAGATCAACATGTGTCATGCTTTGACAGACAAAAAATGAGTGGTTGCAGGCCATCACTGTATCTGATATTTGCTAGCCTTATTTCAAAACAAGGTGAACTCTTTCATATACCATACTTTGAGCAGTCAGTAAATAAAGTGGGTGAAAAAAAGAAAGAAATGGGAGCCCTTTTTGCCTAGTGATTCTAACTTCAAGCAAGCATTTTTGCTTTGTAAGCAGTTTCCTGCACTTTAATTTGTTTTCCACTAAAATGCTGTCAGCTAGGTATAGGAATTGTACATTACAGTATAAAATGTCTGCTGGGCAGCCACCTGGCTGGACATGAACCAAATATAAATATTAATCACATTTTAACAGGAGCCAGACTTGCTTTTCATCCTCTCTTTGTCTTTTCGATTGTATGTAGAATTCATTCCAGTATACATGTCATAGACTTTTCCAGTTCTAAGAGACAGCTGTGATTTGTTCTCAGTGAGCATTTCATTCTTTGCCATAGTACCAGGTAGGAATGTGCATTGCCTTTGGAGAAATGTGTAGATTCTTACAGAATTAAGGATATTTGTGCATTTCCAAGGCAACAACAGAGCAGAGTGAAGAGCCTGGGGGCACACCTGGCAGAACAGCACACCGTCTTGTCATAGATCCTTCATGATAAACCCAACAACCATGGTGCTAAAAGCTTTTTTTAAAAAGCTTTGCAATTAAAAGCAAAAAGGGAGGAATTTAAGTACAGTTAGTTTCTAAGAAATATATTGAGCTGGTCCCAAAAGAGGAGTAGGGCAGCTTTACCTCCCAAGGGAAGTCCAATACCTCTTCTGTACAATCCAGTCACTGAGGGTCTCTGAGAGAGGCACAGGACTGTAGCATCCATTCCCTGCATCTTTTAAAGCAAGGTGCTGACTTTTGATGAGTGCAGCATTTTGCTCAAGGTTTGCCTTCTGAAATCCTACCTCCCTACCCCCAACATTTCACAAAACTTAATTACACGGCTGGGACAGAGTATGTTTGTGCAGTTGAATGCCAGCATTCCTGTATGGTTTTTGAGTTGTTCACTTAAGTGCACTGCCACCACCTGTAGTTCTTCTCTTGTTAATGCTATGGTATCATTTCTACTTCTGAAGTTCCTAACAGCTGTTTCTAGCTTTTCTTCTTTTTGTGTTCCGTGGGCGTAAGACAGGCAAATAATTCTGCCCGTAATAATTCTGATGGCACCGTGTAACCCATGCTTATCCCAAGTCATAGCTGTTTTCATTTCCCCATCTGTGATAATGAAGTTTTTCACAGGGTGGGGCAGGCACCACTCTGTGTGACCTTATTTAGGCATGCATCACATTGGGGGGGGGACAGCATGCATCCCTAGTTGCAGGGTTTACTTTTCAGGAGAATATAATCTTACAGGTGGCAATGAATATAGGTGAGAGACTCTGGGAGAAGATACATAATGCTACTGAAAGTCTTTCTCTAACAGTATTATTAAGAAATACAACTAAAACAGAACACATGAAAGAATCTCAAAATCCCAGCAGTTAAATTTCTGTACATCAAGGGGCAACAAAATGGTTTTGCAGGTGTGTATTGTCATGAAGCTCCAATAATCACTTACTGTGGGCTGTGCTGGCTAGAACTGCTGGAAGCTGTAGCCAAAAACATGTGAAGGATCACAATTGCCAAGCCTGTTCATACCAGGGAGCAAGTCCTATTGGAGTGTGTGGAGACAAATCTGTTTCTTGGGTTGCATTGTACGGTTGATACAGCCCACTCCTTTTAAAATAAAATTTTTAAAAAAATCAGAATATAGTATATACTAATGATTTTAGTAGTCACTATTATATTGCAACTAAATAGCTTATATCAAACTGAGTTTGGCAGGTATTGTCTTATGTTGTATGTATATGTTAGCTCCTGTACTAGCAAGTGCACAAAACTAAATTAATGCTTATCTACTTAAAGCATTAATTTAGTTTTGTGCACTTGCTTAATGAATCACAGGGCTGTCCCTTAAAATAATTGGTATGTTCTCTGTTCTGCTTGATGGTATTGATGCTACTAACAACAACAATATTTTGGGTTCTGTTTTCATGTTTATTAGGGACCTCAAGGGCCACAGGGACCTGTTGGATTCCCTGGACCAAAGGGACCACCTGTAAGTATTTTCTTAAAACAAATGTAATTATTGTATAACAAGAATGGTATAGGCATTGACTGACATTTAACTGGGTATCTACCTATGAAGAAACTCATACTGAGCTTTAGAAAAGTTATTTAAAGCAGTGATGAGAAGACATGAGGCTTTCCAGATCTTCCCGTCCCTAGATCGTATGTGCATGATTCCTGGAGCCCAGCATTTTGCTAGAAATCCACAGACCCAGGAGGAGAACAGTNGGGGGGGGGGGAGAGGGAGGACATGATTTTAGAACTGGGGTACTTCAGAACTTGTGCTTAACCTAGGAAGATATTTTCAGTACCAGAACAGAGTTCACAGCCTTTTCACAATCTACCCCTGGTTCCCCCCCCCCCAAGCCTCCTTCAAGTTAGCAAGTTATGTGGGGTGGAGAGGCACAGTGAAAAGCCTGTTGGTGGTCCCTGCTGTGAATTAATGAAAAGTCAGAAATCCTGACTTTTGGCGATCTGTTACAAATCACTGAAACATTTGCCCACCAATCTCATTCCACCTTCTGCCCATGCATGGTACATGGTCTGAGCAAAGAGGCCGTTCTCCCACCAACACCTTTTTCGGTTGAGATGTCCTCTTGCTCATACCATGGGCCTCTGCTGTCCATCCACAGATCTAAAGTGTTTGTGAAGAATAATAGTAAAATACAGAATGGATTCCTCATCCCAATGTTCTTCCCTCCATTTCCTGTATTACATATAGACTCTAGGCTAGGTAGAGAGTATGTCTTTGCATGTTTCCAAACGTGGGCCCTTCTGTATTTAATGGAACAACTATTCTGGAGTTTCTAGCCTCAGTTTGATCTCACTCATTTCCTGAGAGTAATAAAGGCCAAGAAGATAAACCTAATCTCTGAAAGCATAGGCAAGGGCCACCACAACACAGGTTTTACCACAGCCCTCAAGTGGAGAAGCAGGACCTTCATGCTGGGACAGTTCATTCTGGCACTGTTGTTTATATACCCTCAGCGGACATTGGTGTGCAGATTGATGGTGTGAATAAATATGTCCTCACAGAGAAATACCTGTCTGGCAAAAAACAAAAAAAAAGCTTGGAAAACTCTGTGAGGTGTTTCTCTCCCCACTTGAAGAATCCTCCATCCAGCATGGACAGTGGCTATGCTGGCTGGGGATCTGGTGAGTCTAGCCTGAAACCCATACATTTCCAAGCTCTGTTTAACAGATATCACTTGAGCCATTGCTCCATTTTTTTTATTATGAGTGTCATCCATCCAGCTCTCCCACAATCAACTCAAACAAGCTTAGCGATCAGCCAAATGGCAGCTTACTTGGACTGATTTTTCTAGTGCGCGAGAGTAACAAAGACTGTGGAGTTGACAGCCCAGGGCCAACAGAGTACAGTACGTGATTTGTGTCCCTTCTGCAGAATGGAGGAATGAATTCAGACATCATGAAATTAGCCCAGAGCAGTTCCCCGTTTAGTGAGCAAGTAGCTGAAACTAGGCTGGTGCTGTAACATCACTAATGTAAAAATGTGTTTGCTGGGAAATCTGATAGCAGCGGTAGAAAATGGCTGGGAAACAAGCAGCAGAAACTGTACAGATAAAAATCAAACATGTATACTCTGTACAGAACACAAAGTACTGTGGTTTCCAAGCAGCTTGGATATATTTTTAAGAAGTGCTGTTACGCTGCTGTTGCTACCATAGCTGAAATCCTCTTTTGTCATTTTGTGCATCATGCCCCCTCCCCACAGTACCATACATCTCATTCATCATGCACACACAGTTGTTGCTACAAATTTTGCACATGCCCCAAAATGAAGTTATTTTTAGGAAGTGGAAGGTTATTGGAGACCATCTGCCACAAAAATGGCATACCCTGCACATTGTCAGCACAATAGTTTTTTATGTAGAGGCAGCCAGCCGCCACTAGAGGTTGCTCTCCCTCTCTGTTGTGTCAGTGCCGGCGAGGGCGGGGGGATGATGAAGTTAATAAGAAAGTATGGGATTTTCTATTGGCAGGCTATCACCAGAATGAGTGCATTAAACATGCTAGTTGGGTTATTGACTTTAAAATAGTGCGTTCATAAAGGAAACCGAAACATCCACTGGCCTGGAATAAATTGTAGAGGCTTTCAAAACTCTTAGGGTCCCATTTTATCTTCATGGAATTGATCATTCCTGTTCCAAAGAATGGGCTGCATCGCTCTTTCTCCCTAAAGTAACCTTTAAGAAGGAGGAAACCTTCGTCCAGTTCCACTTGTAGATTGGTGCAGAATGAGATTGTAGTCAGCTTGAAACCGTACAGATCCAGCATCCTTGTTGTTCTTACCCTCTGTTGACAGAAAGGTTGGTAGAATCTCTCAGCTTCTGTCTTCTTAGATCACACTCTAGTCTAGGGATCTGTATGGGCATCATCACATCATCAAATGAAAACCCGTTATTTCCCCTTGCAAATGTATATTTGGTACCCTGCACAGGAATGGCAATTTGTGAGAGGAGGAAGGAGAAATGACAGACAGTGTAATGAGTGTGCTTCAGATCTCTCACACTCACATCTTCTACTCTCACCCCCCAAAAAAGAAACATTTATGCCTGATTATATATAAGATATTGTATGCCAATTAGTTGCTTTCTCATTCATTTCTTCTTAAATTAAATGTTTTGATGTCATGTCCTATCATTATCACACCATTAAATATTATCTTTCTATGTATAAAAAAAACTTCTGTCAAAGCTGAGGTGCTGTTCATCACCCACTTACCTAAGTGGTGAAAAGCAAAAGAGCAGTGTTGCGACATTTAGCTTTCTTGAGCTGAGAAAACATGGAAGTTTCAGTGGTGGTGATTTTCTACTATCAGTTTTACTTACAAATAACAGAAGGGTATATTGGAAGCGGTAGGTCCTGTACAGAAGACAGCAGAACCCTTAGCCTGCATTAAATTCCCTGTGAAACCAAGTGCTTGGATCCTTTCAGTCCATCCTGCCCCCAGCTGTTTCCAGCTCAGCTGAACTCCATCCTCCCTGTTGGCTCAAGGGTGTTTCCTTCAAAAGGTTGGGGAGAAAGATTTCTCATGCTCCTTTAGGGAAAATCAATGGATCATCCTTGTCTGTGAATAAGTAAGCAGTCAACATCTGCCAATCAATCAGAACCAGGGTAGTAGGTGTGAAAACTAGCCTGCTACACAGGAAATGACCCTGGAGTTTGTTTGTCTGGATTCTGACCTGGTTTTTTGGAAGCAGGATTTGAGTGTTGATGTTCCTCCTTTGCAGGGACCACCTGGAAAGGATGGCCTGCCTGGACACCCAGGGCAACGAGGTGAAACGGTATGTGCACAATTTCTGTTCTTCTGGAATGTCATCTGTTTAGGGACACTATGATATTTTGGACAAACATATTGCACGTCTAGCAACAGTAACAGGAACTGAATTGTATTAATAAAGAAGAGGAAAGTGTCGGGCTGGTGTGATAGCATTTTGATAAATTGTATTGCAGTGAGCATATGTGCATAAGCTGAGTTTCTGGCTGTGATTTACCAAACTCTGGTTTTGCTACAGGTTTTGTTGAAGTTGTATAAAGTTTGATTAAACTTTTTTTCATTGTACTGCCCTGATGGTTGCTGCACGCCATGGAAAAGGGAAGGTTTTTTTTCTGGTTTTGCTACAGGTTTTGTTGAAGTTGCATAAAGTTTGATTAAACTTTGTTCATTGTACTGCACTGATGGTTGCTGCATGCCATGGAAAAGGGAAGGTTTTTTTAAAATGGCTTTTTCTTGCCTAAAATGTATAAATTATCCTATATTACTTGGAGTCACAGAAAGGGAAATTTCAGAAAATTAATCTACATAATGATAAGCCTAAAGGCCACTTGTGGGCTGAGCAGATGCAGTGCATCACTCCAGAACTTCAGAGAAGGGGGTGCCCCTTGCTTTGATCATAAGCTGTCTGTGCACAAGCCCTCTCCATTGGGACTTCAGCCTTTTTAATTGCAGGGACCACCCATGTATTTCTGTTTCAGAATATTTTACGATCACTACCCCTGACCTAGTGTATAAATCAAAATCCAAAATACTCAAACTCCATACATTCCCTGGCTCTAGGGCCCTACCTGCACTCAGAGGCACATGGTCATTCACAGTAAAATGAGACCACAGGCTGTTGATGCCTACTGGGGACTTAAAGAAAACATTTATTCATGCTGCTGATCTACTTAAAAAAGGGGGAGGCCGTTTCTCAATCAATATTCTTTCCATGCCACTAGTTAATCATCTGCCTGAGATAACATTAATTTTATCTATGTGTAGCTGTACAAGTACTTGCTTGTCTGCTTTTGTAACACTTCTGTGCATCTGAAACATACATTTGAGATGCATGGAAGTAATGCTGTTCATATAGTTCCGGCCATCCAATCTTTTCCTCAAAAATGTGCTCTGTGAAACCTAGCTGCCCATTTGAATCACACCAGCAGAAGAGCTGAGCTGAGAAATTATTGGAAATGATAGATCTTTGAAAGAGTCTTCAATATTTTACATGTGAGGGTGCAAAGCAATAACAGAAATGGCAGACTTTATTCTTCAAAAAGAAGAATCCACTGACACTGCACTTCTTGCTTGTCATTTTTTCAGCATTATTACAAAAGTCATTGCAATATGAGGATGTGTTAGTGACCATTTTATGCTTCATTCCTTAGGGCTTCCAAGGCAAAACAGGCCCACCAGGCCCTGGTGGTGTTGTTGGACCTCAGGTAGAGTTATCTTTGTTTGACTTTGATCTTTATGTAAGATCTTGCTGGGAAAGCCTTTCTGTTGTGTCTCTCTGGGTTTGACTAGTCAGCCAAATAATTTGTTTGCCACACTGGCTATACAGAAAATCCACCTTCTGGTCATATTTTCAGTAATATTAGAATATTATGTCAAGTGTCTCAGAACTGCAATTGCTATTGATTTTACCTGAAGAAAACTCCTGGCCCTGGCCTAATCTTTGTGATGGTGCACTGGCTGGGAGTCTGAGCTGAGGAGAATTTGGATCTGATGTAATTTACATCCTTCTCTGTTCCTCCTTCTATGCCTTTTTAATGTATTTATTTGGCTCTTTTGTTTCATGATCTCACCCAGCACAGGATTTACGACTGCAGATCCATCCTTGCATCTGAATGGCTTTTGGGGGTTCTGTGATAAGAATCCTCAGGGCAGAGGGGGGCAGGGAAGATTATATGTTTCATTGAAGCTTCCTTGAAATTCCTTATATGTTTGGCCCACATGTGAATGCTCAGTTTCCAACATCCCTAGTGTGAGAGGAGTTTGGATTCACCAGAGCCTTAGCCAGTTTAGTGTCAGCTTAGCCAGTTTTCAGCCATATTGACAAGGAAAGATTGCACCCTCAATAAGATTAATAACATTTGGGATGGGAGAAGATGGCCAGAAGATGATTCAATATACCTACAAATGAAAGTCCAGTTGGATACATTATGAAATGCAAAAGACGTACTTTGTTCTTTAGTGGTTAAACTACAATACTGCAGCTAAATACAGTATCTGCTAACGACCTGAGTTCAATACTGATAGACTCAGGTAGCCAGCTGAATGTTGACTCAGCCTTCCATACTTTAGGTTGGTGAAAGGAGTACTCCGCTCACTGGGAAGCAAAGTGTTCCTTGAAAAATTATGTTGTAAACCACCCAGAGAGTCTTGTAGCACTATGAGGCAGTATGTAAGTCTAAACAACAACACTTTATATGCAAAGTACAACATACATTTGTACGCAAAGAAGTGAGCAAATGCAATATAGCCTTCAGAAACTGGTGATGTTTGTGTGATGAGTGCTATCCTGTACACATCTGTTCAGAAGCAGCCACTGCTGGGTTCAGTGGCATTTATTGCTAGATAAATAGATGCGGGATTGTAGCCTTATGCATTTTTCTTGAATGTTCAGCTGCTGTCCACAGAATTTAAAAAACACACACAAGCAAGCAAGAAAATCCACACTACTGTCAGTGAAAGGGTATTAAAAGTGTGCAAGGAGGATCTTCAGAAGCAGAGTCTACACAAGAGATGATGTTGTGGAGGAGAGCTGGCAGAGACTTAGCTACACACCTCTCTGCTTTGGGCTGAACGTAGAGTATTTTTCAAGGATCACAGAGTCAGGGGGAAATGTTTATAGTTAGCATGTTAATATATATTTTTTAAGATGTCAAATCTCTTTTCTAAAGTTCTCTCTTCTCTAGTTTAACTACAGGAGGCTTGTGAATCGGTTTTGTTTCTTCCCCGCACTTCAGTGAAGTTAAACAGCAGGGGTCTTACTGATTGTAAATTTTGTGTGAATTATCTTTTGTTTTCCTCTCTTCTTTTATTGACTAAGCTTTGTTTAAATTTCCAATGCCTGGCCATGCTGTGTTTGAGTTAGGAAAGATAAATGAAATTGCAGCTTAGTTATGTTCCTGGTACTGATATCCCTTATGCTGGCTTCTTGTGTGAAGTGTTTTTTTTTCCCCTCCCAAACAAAACAGAACAAAACTTGCACTTATGCTGTTTTAAGTATAGTGTTTGCTTTCATTGGGAAGGACTGTGTGAATCACATTGCGCTGTCCACATCTGTTTACGATGGCATATATCGAGGCACCCATTGGTATCATGAGCATCTTTATGTTTCTCTGCTTGTGTATCTTACATGGTTGTTTCATCTTGATCTTTGTGTTATGCACAATCACCAACTTTTGGTGGCCCCAAATGAGGATTCTCATTGTCACTCACTACTGCCACCCCCACTGATTTTCAAGGGTAGAGATGTGAAATCAGATGTCCAGAGTCCTAGTACAACACTGTCCTCTGCCTCATGCTGACCCTCAATTTATCTTTACATTTGAGTAAATAAAATGTTGTGGAAAACTTTTAAAGTATCTTCTTTAAAATAATTCTGTATGAAGAGATTGCTTTGGTGAAGGAATGTAAATGAGCTACAATTTGTGGCTTCTGCTTTACTCTTCTGGAGTAAATGTCAATAGGATTATGGACAAAGCACTGTCCTGTTGGTGACATTGCTGGATAAGCCCATACAACCCCATTGTCATGTGGATGACATTGTTTGGTCAGCCCATACAGAATCCAGCAGGACTCTAGCCATTGTTTCTACTATTGCTGACAGAAAAACAAAGAAAGTCCATGTTTTTGATTCTTTCTTCCTTCATTGCTCTTTGCTCCTTCTTTGTACCTGTGGAACAACCATATTTTGGCCTTTAAGGAGATATGGAAATATTTCAGCTTAGTATAATTGAGTCCAGAGATCTTAAGTGCTTCAATTCAGTGCTTGAAGGACATCATAGTTAGATGAATGTGGCTGGGCAGTTAGTTTAAAAAGTTACACTTGTGAATGAAGATAAATATGTTAGTGATGTTAAATAAAGGATTCTGTGCTTTTGGGTTTAGGGCCCCACAGGTGAGACTGGCCCTATTGGAGAAAGGGGTCACCCTGGCCCTCCAGGTCCACCAGGTGAACAAGGCCTTCCAGGTGCAGCTGGGAAAGAAGGAGCTAAGGTACGAATGTGCTCACTTTTGATCTAAACCTGCACTGTCTTTCAGTGTATCACATTTCAGAAGGTATTAGTATCTGGGCATCCATCAAAGATTCTAGAATTAGATCATGCACTGCAGATTCTTGATTGAGCAATAGGTCATGCAAGGTAACTTTCAAGGTCCAACACTGGGGAAACTTCATATTAGAAAGATAATCCCATATTATGGAGAAGTTACTTCCTTGGACTACAGCTCTCAGAACTCCCCAACCATCATGCTGAGTGGCTGTGATTCTTGGGGGTATTACTGAAAATTTTCATTAGAAAATCACTTTTCTAATCTCTGGATGCTCCCAAAGTTACAGTTGGGTGTAAGCTATTAAGATCTAAAGTGTTCAACAGCAATAAGTTTTAGGACATTAACCATCCAAAGGCATGGAACAAAATGTGTCTAATTTTAGTATGAAAAATTTAGTTCTCAGTGATAAAATCAAATAATCATTTGGTTGCACTGCAGTTAATTAAGGTATAATTTAATCAGGATATAAAACCACATGAATACCAGCCCCATGCATCAGAGCTTGACTCTATGCACTTAAGAGTACAGACTTGCTGTACCAAAAAATCATTGATTATGACTGTTGTGATATCTCCCATGTTACTGAAGAAAAAAAATACAAATCACATAACACAAAGGGAGGTCTACTTATAAACAATGGTGTATTTGCATATGTTGGTATCTGAAATCTTAACAGGCAGGTTTGAAAGTTTTCGGAACTCTACGCTTCAGCAGATGTAGAATTTTTTTCACTTTAATCAAGTGTAAATGACAAATCAAGTGTATAATCTTATGTCAGTGATGGCTGGAATCCTGTTGCACAACTTCATGTCATGTAAGTTGGATGAGGTCATCAACTGTGGCTGCTTACAGAGAATTAAAAGACCTGTGGCAGCGATTTTCAGACTCCAAAGAATTCCTCTCCTATTCTGCAGTTCACAAATGTTTCCCTAGGATGAAAGGGATCCCTAGGGATTCCCAAAATGTGTGAGGAGGTAGGTGGGAAGCTTTTAATTCCCCCCAAAATGGCCATGGTTGTTGATGCCATCTGAGTTGCATAGCGCAAAGTTGCACAACAGGATTCTGGCTAATTAATTATCATTTCTATTCATACATCAGAACACCTTGTTTCCAGAACAATTTTGGAGGATAAGATTATTTGCTTCTGAATTACAGCAAGCCTCCATCATCACTTTCTTTGTGCAGTGATGGAGAGGTGTGAGGAGGAGAGGCTTTTGGAAGAGGTCGATTCATGCTTGAATGTAATGCCTGTACATGAAGAAGCACCTCTTTTCTTTAGACACTTCCATCATTCCATGAAGAAAGTGGTGACAGAGAGGTGTGAGGCTAGGCACCTCCCTCTCTGTGTGTTCAGGAAACCATTCTGACACTTGAATAGCTCTGTAGCTTATTTGTCTGCAATTATTTTTTAAAAGCAGTCCTTGATCACTTTCCCTAGGGTGATCCAGGACCTCAAGGCATCAGTGGAAAAGATGGACCTCCAGGACTTCGTGGTTTCCCAGGGGAAAGAGGCCTACCAGGAGCTCAGGTACAGTAATAGGCAGAGACAAACATTAGCTGAAAGTTTTATGCATGTGAAAGGGTAGCACACAGCAGCTTCCCCAAAGTCTTTGTATCCCACACGTACTCCATGTATTCAGAGAACTGCCATTTGCTTCATGGAACAGAAGGAATTTGAATTGGGTTCTTCCGGTTTGGTCCAAAGCCCTTATCAACTAGGCCTCAAAGTGCTTTTAAACCTTTTTAAAGCACAGGAACTCATGGTGTAAATGGAGTGCAAGCCACCCTCCCCACCATTACCTGAGGAGGTACACTGCAGTGTTCAAACCACAGATCACTTCTGCATTAAAATGTGAGTTGCAAGACATAATGGAATATAGGATTTTGCTGGAAATATAAACTGAAGAGTTCATATACTGTATGTGGAGATACTACCTTTCCCTTGATTAGGGTTGTCATTTTCAGATGAGAGATCCTTTCCATTACCTCAGGACTGTACATCTTAATATACCAGGTTGAACAAAACTCACTTGAAGTTCATGTTGCTGCCTGTTGGCAGTGCAAAGCAGGGGAAGGGAAGCATCTAATGGGCCACAATAAACAGCTAGTGGGTTGCCTTAAACTTTGATTGTAATTTGTCCAGGGCTACAGTACATACATCTCAAAATGCTGTTTACGGTGGATTTGATTAAAGCAAAGCTTGTGAAGCAAAATGATGGTTTGATGTTCTAAAAAAAAATCTGCTCTGTATGTGGCTATAATCCTCTGGCTTCTATGGATTGTGACTTGAATTTTTCACTTAGCTGCTTTAGGGATGGATGAGAAATTCATTTGGTTTGCTGGCAGAGTGTACACTTTGCATATAGGCAATAATACATTCCACCTCTAGCATCTCCAGTTTATGATTATGAAGAAATATTCACCAAGTTCCTTGTTCTCATCTGTTCAGGCTATCTCCACAAGATGAGATGCCTCAACAAGGAGTCCGAGAGCCCTGTGATATTTCTCGGCTCCCACTGAGAGTGAGAGAAGGAATCCCACCATCATCACTATAATTAAAGTCCCTCATTCACACAGATAATGTCTGTGCAAAATTCGTATTGGTCCCCTTGGAAAGAAAGCACACACAAACATAGCAAGTGCTGAAGGATTGAGTGATTGTTAAGAAAGGTGCACACAACCCATCTGTGACTCACATTCCAAAATTTCCATGAAATAAAGAAAGAATTATTCTCATTTTACCCCAATAGTATGATGTATGCAGTTGAGCTATATTGTGCAAAACATCAAGAATTTGCACAGGACATCATCCTCCCTCATTGTCAGAACAGTATCAAGAGCATCTATACATTACTCACTGTGCTTCTAAACAAGAATGTAGGACTGCTTTGATGAAGATTTCAGGTTTGGGTGCTGCAGAAGATCTAAGCCAAAGACCTTGGAGAGCCATTGACAATCAAAGTAGGCAGTACCGCAGTACATGTGCCATATCAAAGCTACACAGACTTCTAATAGAAGATCTAAGCCAAAGACCTTGGAGAGCCGTTGACAATCAAAGTAGGCAGTACTGTACCGCATTACATGTGCCATATTAAAGCTACACAGTCCCTGTGGTCCTCTTCATGCCAATTAGTACTGGAGAAATATGGCACTGTACTGTACATTCCTGTCACTATCTTCAAACCTGGAGAGTCCCTGTGGTCCTCTTCATGCCAATTAGTAATGGAGAAACATGGTACTGTACATTCCTGTCACTATCCTCAAACAGTGCAGCTTGGAGCTGCTTTTGCTTAGGGGACAATAATGGCACGTGTTTTTTTTGGGTGTGGGGGAAATTCCCCATCACGTAATTTTGTTGGCCAAGGAATGTGCAGCCTCCCAGGTTCACAAAGCTGATTGTCCTTGTCCTAAACAGTGCCATAAAATATGAGCTGTTTTGCACTGACAGCTAAATTTTGATAAAAGCTTCATTTAGAAAATACAGTTCTTTCTTTTGCAGTAGGATTGTCTTTTTTTTTCTTTCACTTTTGTTTTTAGCCTTCAGTGGGTTTACATACGTTATGTTTGTTTTGATGCAACTGCTGAAAAAAAATCAGTTGCATTAAAATGTGTTACAGTGTCAGTCTTCAAAATAATAATAATAACAATGTCCTTTGTTAGGGTGCAGCTGGTCTGAAAGGAGGTGAAGGTCCCCAAGGTCCACCAGGCCCATTGGTAAGTAAAATCCACAGGCTCAAATGGCAGTATTTTTTTTTCATGGAAACAAACATTAGCCTGAATAATGGCTTCTTTTTAATTCCCTTCATGCTGGTATGTGTATGTGGCTCTTGTGAACAGTACACAACTGTATGCCATTCGGATCTGTCAATAGTAGTTTCCTGGTAATTATCAGAACGAATGAGTCCATAAACAGAAGAAAGTATAAGCATAAATGCATCAGCCTATCTGAAACCTGCTGTTATCAACAGGGGGCAAATTATCTTCTCTTGTTACATTAGATATTATACAGTAGGGGGAGGAGGAAAGAGGCCTCTAGCGATAGGAAATCGAAGGAAAGGAAAAACTTAGTTTATTAAGAAGGCTGAAAAGACTGCTGTGAAATATTTCCCAACAGCCCTTTCTTTCTGAAATGTTTGGAAGTTGGGACAAAACTAAGAGTTATTTTCCTCATGCTTTTAAAATGCCATATTTAAACAAGTTGTGTTTATTACTGAGGAAGAGTGACCATAGAGTCCTGATCCAGAAACATGCTTCCAACCTAGACCACAAAAGTTTCTAGATCTAGATTCTCCTGAAATACCTGTGCACCCATGCTGTGACTTTACAGGAAAGTTTTGATTACAGCAAACCACATCTTCCAAGCTAAAACAGCAGAGCAGGGAGGTGGGAAGAGCGGTGGTTTTCAGAAAGGAGTGCAAGGCTCTTGTCTGGATCAGAAGCAGAGGTGGAAGCTGTAGGTTTATAACAGATGGGGAACCCTCTGGGCTGGCAAGGAAAGTTCAAATGGTTAGGAAACAAGGTAAAGCTAGTGTGCATCAAGACCTAGCCCCTCTTCTAGGCTGAGAACAGCTTGCTTTCATCCAAGAGAAGGGAGTCAAGTTATGAAAACCCTACTTTCCAAGTACTGTAGAGGTTTCCTCCCTTCCATCCCTGCCAGATGCTTCTGAAAGCTCTGGCCGCAGATTATCACCAGAACCGTCTAGTGTAACTCATGCTGGGCTATACCACTTTTGCTAGATCATACCATTTTATAATTTCAGGTAGCATGCTTTGTGTGCTTTCTTATCTATGAAGAAGACCATGTTCTCAACAGTGAAAGTAGCAAGTGAGGGAGAAGAATTTTAGGCTAGCCTTCTCAGAATGACTTCTTATGAGTCGTATGGAAGAGCAGCACCGTGTGAGTCTCTTGATCTATAGGTTGGCTCTCAGTTCTCCCTTCTTAAGGGCCTCAATAGAGTACACACAGGGGAAGGAGAAGGATATTAATCCGAAAACAGATTGGTTTTATCAGTTTTTCTTTTCTTTTGATGATGTTTCTGCCTATTTTGAAGTCTTATACTTTTATGCTTTTCTCAACCAACATGTGAAAACAAACGAGCTAACCTCTGTGGGATGAGATTGTAATTGCCATAAAATTTAATTTTCTCTCTCTGGGAATTCTAATCAAAGCAAAGCAGCATTAATCCTTTTTTATGCTTTTCAGTCATGCCATGTTAATATTTAAGGCCAAACCCATCCTCTGCCACTCTGCTTCCAGCACTAGGGCTTTGCAAGCATTCCATCAACATTGTCAGAGAGGGGGGAAAGTAAGAACAAAGAAAGAAAACAAATCACCACTTTCATTATAAGTGTGTTTTTAAAACCAATATTACTTCACGGAGACAACCTAAGATGGACTCTGAGCTCAAAGAGTCCAGGGACAAGAAAGGTTTTTTGAACAGTAGAAATACTTCAAAATATTGAAGTACCTGATACTTGAAAATCTTAGAAGTGTGTGATATTTGGTAAAAAGAAGCATCAGCAATCTGTGCCCATAAATGAACATTCCTGTTACGCATAATCAGACCTATCCATCTCAGAATCCTACAGCCAACATGGCCATTAACTCCCAGATTCTGAGAGCTGAGCTACCAAAACAAAGAAACAAAAAACATGCCGAAAACTACACAATTATTCCAGTCTATGTATCAGAGAATATTCTGTTCTCCTGCTTCCTTGGCAACTGTTTTTTAACAGAACCATAGTTTTAGCTCAGCAGGTACTGAAGAGCCAGTAAAATTGGTTTTGCCAGCTAAGGGCCTCTTTCTATAGTATATGTTCCAGTTGTGTATCTGAATGCTGACTTAAACACAGCATTTTTGCAGAGGTTTGTTTGGTTTTTGTTGGCATTTGGGATATGTGTGTCACAGCTCCTTGGCAGAGTGTGCACTGTGTGCAGAGAAGGTCCCTCGTACAGCACCTAGTCTCTCCAGATAGAGTTGGGGAATACTCCTGTCTGAATCAGGTTAGATACTGTTAAGCTTAACATACTGGGGCCTTTCCCTCTACAAAGAAAATGTCTTTGTTCCAGTTTATGAAACAGAAAGCATGCATTGGGGAGTTAATTTCAGCAGGGACAGAGTGTATTGTTTGTATTTTAACCCTAAACAGTGGGAAATGTAGGATCTTACAAATGTAAGATCCTTTTGTGATGGACACATGTTTATCATTGTGTAGGACAGAGATATAATGATACATAAACATGGTTTCTAAATTCAGTGTACAGGCAATAGCAAATCATAGGGACAAGGTGAGACCTGCCCTCAAGAGTTAAAAAAGAGCACCAAATAATTTCCTGAGTGGATGTAGTTCCCATAACCTTCTGACATACCCTGGATCAGCTCTGAAGATTTCCTGGCCTTTGGTTCCTCATCGGCCTTGTAGCATATGAGACAGGATTTGAACACAATACCCTAGGTTATGCTAAACATTTCAAGTGTACCCAATGTCTCTAGCTGCATGGAAAATAGTGATTTTACTAACCATCATCAGGGGCTATGGCGTGGTCTCAGAATGGATGCTTTCTATTCTCAACCTAGCCATAGACTAGGCATTTAGATGACCTCCCTGTAGGGAAGATGTTTCCTAGATGTTTTCAGACTCCCTCTGTGCTTCTGATATGTACAAGCATATCTCTTAACATAATGCTGAATGGTAGACTGATCTGTCCATGAGCAGGAAAAAAGTAATATTGAGATATCATCCGTTCTCAGTCTGATAAATTCCAATAGATAGATTCAAACCAGTGCATCTGAATTGCAAAGAATCAGTCACATGAAACAGTATCTTGTCTGTGACTCCAGGAAGATAGTTACTTCAGATGAGATATTTTAATACTGTATGTTCAAATTCAAAATGTAGTCTTCTGTAGTCCTAACTATGGGCAGCATAGTTACTTCAGATGAGATATTTTAATATGTTCCTCTTGAAAATGTAGTCTTCTGTAGTCCTAACTGTGGGCAGCTCTATGTATTAACATTATGGCAGCTATTTGTCTCCCATAACATTGGAAGTTGGAAGCAAAATTCCAGCTTCCCACATTTCTCATGTGAGATTCATAGAATAATTCAGACAAACAGCTGCCATAAATATGTACAGTGGTATTGCTGAGAGAGTGCTAGGTTAGTTCCTTGACATCTCCAGCTAAGAAGGCTTTCCAGTTACAGGGCTGAGATGACCTTGTGTGCATTTTGACTGCTGCCAATCAGAATATGATGGACTAAGGGTAGATACATTGACAAATCCACAATTAGCATGTGTGAAGTCAAAGTATTTTTCAATGATCTCATGATGCAAAGATAAATGTGAATCAGCTGTTTTTCTTTCTGGTCCCGAGAATATTCCCCTGCCACTGGGGGCATCTGCATTTTAAAAGCCAGAGCGATTCAAGCACTGTTTCTACAAAGGGACAGGGTGTGTGACTCTGGGCGGTGTTATGGTAGTGTATTAAGCTGAGATGTGATGTTTTGAGACAGTGCGAACACCCAGCCCCAAAATCGTTCTCCCTAATCTCCCCCCAAATTATGTTTATTTATTATTTTAAGAACAAACTGCCAAGTTTAGCACTGAATCACCTTATCGCAGCATTGATACATTAGTTTAACTACTAGATCACCTCTGCACAGACAAAAGTAAAAATAGGAAAGAAGAGTCAGGGATCGCCATGTGGGTGGTATGAAAGGAAGTGAGGCTATGGGCTATCCATAGTGCATATCAAATTCCATCAAATTGAGGGCTAAAGTGGGCACTGGTCCTGAAAAAATCCATGGGCCTCATATCATCATCTAAACCAAATGCAGCATTAAAAGAGATGGCAGGTCAAGTCAATTTGCCTTGCCAGTGAAGTCTCACACCCATATGTGTTAGTTGGACCCATAATCTGATTCAGTGTAAGTGAGTGGTTTATATCCTACTAATATTAGAAAGTCTTAAAAGGATTAAGTTATGGGAAATAATTTTGTTCAGTCCATTCTTATAAAAAAAATCTCAAATTTCTTTAGATTCTGAAAGGCAAGAACATACAATTAAAAGAGAAAATGAATATGAGAGAATCTAGGATTGGCAGTGTCATCTGACTAAGCTTAAGTACTTAGATCCTGAAAGTCTAAGTCTGGACCCCTGTGTGTTCAATGACATTAGTAATGAATTAGGCTCGCTGCCCTTTTGTAAAAGAGGCTCCTCATCTTTAACACATATAGAACAGCAGGGTACTCTACAGGCAGGAATTAGCTGCAGCGATTGAATCTGGCCACTGGAGAGAGAATTCCATTTTAGTTCATTAAGTAATTGTCAGAATTTGCAAACCACGTATCTGAGATTGAAAGAACTTGAGGTTTTAAAAAAATCAAGCTATAAGAAAATAAGAGATGAACTGATTTCCCACATAGTACAATAGTCCTCTTCCTTCTTCCTTCTGTTCTTTATCTTTTGGGGTCATAGGAAACTTTCTGTGATCTCAGAATACTGCCGGAGGTCAAAATATAAAAGACTATGAGGGATGGGCTAATAGTCTAAAATCAGCTTAAGGCAGCGTTTTGCATCTTGTACCACAGAGAGTGGGGGCATTCCACTGGAAGAATTTGCATGGGTTCCAGCAATTCTGATCATTTGGCAGTTTAATACATTCCATTTGTATGTTTTTTCAGGGTTCACCTGGTGAACGTGGCCCAGCAGGGACCGCTGGCCCTATTGGTTTACCCGGACGGCCAGGCCCTCAGGGTCCTCCTGGACCAGCGGGAGAAAAGGGTGCTCCGGTGAGTTATTCTGAAGGAAGCCTGTAAGACTGCTATATTTCAGAAGTTATTGCTTTTCATATCCAATAATGTTAGTTCTTCACACTCCAATACCTTTCTATTTCATATGTGCCTAGCATACTCCCTTTCTATTTACAATACAGTGCTGCAAAAATTTAATTAAACTCAATGACATTTTTGTCACACTTTATCAAATCCTAAGTCCTAGGGAGAAGGGTTAAGCAAAGCTGATAATTATGAGAACAATAGGGGCTGCCTTCGATTATAAAATATTTTGTCAAACCACAGCTTTGATTTAAACTTAGTGCCCTAATGCTCTGTTTTCCGAAGTGCCCTTTTATTTCCCATTTTCTTATCGGATTTCATTACCATTTACTCCTACCCTCTGCTGTCTTTTTATTCAAATGTAACTCATAAGTGAAATCCTTTGTGAAGAATTACCCCTCATAGCAAAGCAGTTTGAGTGGACTTTTCATATGAAGGTTTTGGTTGCTGTTAGAATTTCAATGTCTTCTTATTATGACCTGTTGAATTGAACCAAAATGGCTGTCCCAACTGAAGTAACCCTATTGAATCACTAAGGTTGACATAAGTGTTGACTCACCATTTAGCACTTAATTCAACGAGTCTGTGCTGATTGGGCCTAAAAATTAGATTTTGGCTATAGTCCATATGTTAATCATACCTAAAAACAAATGTGTATTGTCTAGTAAAAACTAAACAATGCTGTTTTAAAATACATCTACATACAGTATTTTCATCTGTACTGAAAAAATTCCAGGATAGCTCATTAATAAAGGAAAGCTATGGCAAGGGATCTATCAAACAAATCACTTTTACTTAAGTACTTTGGGGGAAAAAGCATTTTGTAGCCATTTTGTAGTTCAGAGATGATGTTTCAGATTCCCACTGGGTTAGCAGTGCACGGGGCAGGAATTAGATGTTATCAAATCAAACAATGCCTGCTCGTCCTCTATTTTAGCTCATTATATCTTAGTGATGTTATCACAAATGTTGCCCTGGTTTCACTCCATGGCATCAGCTGCCACTTGCCTTGGGTGGGAAACCCATCAGGTACTTCCAGCTTTCAAAAGTCCATGCAGCTGGACAGAAACCAGTGTGTTAATGTGGTGGCTTGGCAGCACAGTCTAAAGCACAGTTTTGAAGACCCAGTTACTCCGGGGGCTTGGATTCAAGTTTCACCACAGCCAAGAATTAGTTAATACCATTATGGTAAATTCCATTCTGTACACTGTGATCTCATTTGGTTCTGGAACGTAAGCAGGGCTGTGCCATGATTAGTTTTGTGTGTGTGTGTGTGTGTGTGTGTGTGTGTGTTTTATGGGAAACCACCAAACAAAACTACAGAACTCCAGGTGGGACTAGAAGAGAGTCTTGCTTCACTTGCTGGAGAGCCATTGACAGTTGACTCAACTAGGGTGGGAGGAGCAGTCATCAAACACAGTATAAGCCTGCTTCCTCAACTCCAAAAATAGCATAATGGTGCCGGTCTTGATATGATTTACTAAATACTACAGTGGAAGGGGTTTGATTGGGTATTTTTAGTAACATCTAGTTCAGTCTAAAACCTAAGCAGCAATTTGCATCTCAGTCTAAAATTCCAGTTAAATAAGAATGTTTCTGTATTCAAAAAAGCAGAAAAAGTTTATCAGCATACTTCAAATAATTTTTTAATTAATTTTTTAATTTTTTTTAAAAAAAGTTCTTCACACCTTGAAACAAATTAAAATCAATAAACATTTTTTTCTGTAGAACAGCGTGTGTACACCTTCAAACCCCAGGTTTCTTACAAAGAAGAACAGAATTCGGAAGGACCAAACAGTTTGTATTTTCGAAGGCTTTCACAGCCGGTATCTGATGGTTGTTATGGGTTTTGCGGGTTCTTTGGCCATGTTCTGAAGGTTGTTCCTGATGTTTTGCCAGTCTCTGTGGCCGGCATCTTCAGAGGACTGGAGTTGGAACTCTGTCCATGCTCTGTTGCTGTTTGTTGGATAGTTGAGTTTTTATAGATGTGAGAACAGCTTTTGTCTTTTTCAGGAGATAGGGTGATCAGTGTGTTTTTGTTGTGGATGCATTGTTGTGATAAGTGGGAGACATGAAATTCTATTTCAAAATACTGAAGTACTGGACAACACCAGCAATCATTATATTAGACTGCACAGGGAAGCCATTGAAATCCATAAACATCAGCATAGCTTCAACAGAAAAGAGGAAAATCTGAAGCTGAACACGGCCTGGCTTCCATCACTGGAAAATACAGCCTGCAGAAGGTTAACAAAGTCTACCCAGCCACAAGGACCTGGGATCATTGCACAAAAGAGACCAGCTAAAGACACCCATCAACTACAGTGACAGATAATCTCTCCCACTTATCACAATACATCCACAACAAAAACACACTGATCACCCTATCTCCTGAAAGGGACAAAAGCTGTTCCCACAGCTATAAACACTGAACTATCCAACAAACAGCAACAGAGGATAGACAGAGTTCCGACTCCAGTCCTCTGAAGATGCCAGCCACACTGGTGGAACATCAGGAAGAACAACCTTCAGAACACGGCCAAAGAGCCCGAAAAAACCCACAACAACCATCAGTTTAGTATTTGTTGCAAATATTTGGGATTGTAGCCATAGAAAGCATCTTGAAGTTCCATTGAATGAGGCCTGAATACAACTTTACCTGTCTCTAACCCAGTCTTTTTATTTCAAAACAAAATTGGGAGTTTCAGAAAAATGTTGTAGTACAGATTCCTTCTGTTCAGATTTCTTAGCCAGGCAAGCCTTCTTAAATGATATTGTGTCTCCTTCCCTTCCACCCTCAGTTTAGTGGACATTATGCTAACTACAGAATATGGACAACATTTATCTCATCAGCTATAAGATTGGAAAGTTGTATTTGTGATATTTTTATTCTCCTTTCATATATTTCCATTTATATTTATATGTGTAATCTCCCACGGGTTGTATTATCGGTGTTCTCATTTCTATTTTCTGTCTGTTATTTATAATGCACTTATCACAAAAGGGATTGAAAACTTGAAATGCAGACAATGCTTTCTATAACAATTTAAGTGTTTTTGCAGTGTCCCATTTTAGATGTTGTAATTTATATGTATGAGTCCTTATGTTGACTGAGTAGGCATCAAGGAGAAAAGTTTTTTTAGAAAACTTGAATATTGTGGATTGGATCTTCCCATGTGGAACGATGGCCTTCACATTTGTCAGGTTTAAGTAAAAAAAAAATCTCTGGAGTAGAGATGGGCATGAACCACTGTTTCAGCAGCTCATGCCATTTTTCGTCCTTTGGACAAACAGGTATTCAGAGCTCCCCAGCTCTGCCTTCTCCAGCAGGTGCGTACTCCAAGACAGCACCTAGAGAAGGCAGGGCACAGAGGCCAGGACGCTGCCTCTGAGTGGGCACCTGCCAGAGGGGGCGGGGCTGGGAAGTGTCAAACACCTGTTCACCCAAAGGACAAACTGGCACGAACTGCATGAACCAGTGACTTGTGCTCATCTCTACTCTGGAGCAAACTGGAAAGGATCCTACTACAGCCAGTGCAGGATCTGAGACTCTGGTCCTCACAGCTTACATGTGCAGGTTGTCTGTTGCAGTCATTTGGGAAAACTATAAATACAGCATTTGCTGAATAATTAGAATTTAGACTCTTGCAGTTTATTGTACATGGAGCCGCCTTTGAAGACTGGAGCTTCAGTAAGTGCAAAGTGCAACTGATATATGGATAATTGGGATCAACTGATTAAAATTCATCTCACTAGTATTAAAACAATTGTGGATGCTTAACTTCCTTGGTTGGTTGGTTTCCTTTGATAGGTTCAATATTCTCCATGATCCTTTACTCATACAAATGTGGATAATATTTTGTTATTGAAAACAGGGTGAAAAAGGCCCCCAGGGTCCAGCAGGACGTGACGGAATACAAGGACCTGTAGGACTTCCTGGCCCTGCTGGTCCAGCTGGTTCTCCTGGAGAAGATGGAGACAAGGTCAGTTGGTGGTGGTGACTATTAAGTATTAACCTAATGGTTGCTATAGCTTTCAGAACTTCAGGTTCACTCTTCCTTCCTTCCTTCCTGTAATAATGGGATTACCAAACAAGAGACCACTCCACCCCCACAAAAACCACCAGAGACATTGTTGACTAGAATCAACTTCTTTGCTGGCATGAAGTGTTATGCTCAGTTGGCTATTGACAATTAGTTGCTTCAGAAGCTGCCTATGCAAACCACGGACCTCATGAATGAAGCTGTGGAGGAGCTTATTTAATGACTAATCAGGGTGGGCCTAAATAGTTATAACATCTATCCCTGAAGGATCCCATATTATATTGATAGGGATGAGTTCTGTATTATTTGTGATAGGCTGTGTTCTATGTATACATAAAGAACCGCTTGTTACTCACTTATTTCTTCTAGGTGCTAACCTGTCAGGTCTGATCTCAATGCAGCACAAATTGGGACTGAGAATGCTACATCACAAAGAACCTAATATGTATCCCCTCAGGCAGAGATATTTGTGTTGATTCCCAGTACTCTGGTGCCTATATGGAAATATTTGCTCTTGATAGAGCTATAGATAACAGTCTGTGAGAATCAGAGGGCAGAATAAGATAGTCAGAAGCAAGCACAGGATTTTCGAAGGCTTTCACAGCCGGGATCCGATTGCTGCTGTAGGTTTTTCAGGATGTCTGGCCGTGTTCTTGAGGTTTTTCTTCCTAACGTTTCACCAGTCTCTGTGGACGGCATCTTCAGAGGACAGGAGTCAGAACTCTGTCTGTGCTCTGGAGCACCAGGATTCTCAGTCATGCATTGGGTACAGGAATTGTGTTTGTGAGAGAAGCTGAGTGGAAAAGAGATGCTTCCATTATCGGATCTTCCTCTTGCCCAGAAACTAGGCAGCAGTTCCTTTTCTGCTGAATTCCAACCTGTACCATTCCCAGTTATCCAGGGAACAGTTAGGAACCCAGCTTGAAAGAGGAATTGCAAAGGAAACATTGGTATGAAAGGGTTGAACATTCTCTTTCTTTCCACTGCTGCTCCCATGCAAGTACTTCCCTTGCTATTCCTCTGTGTGTTGGAAAACCTCCAGTTATGCAGTTAAGATGATACATTAACTCATTCCCTCTGGCCCAGTTCAGACTATTGCATCTCACTTTAATAAGTTGAGGTATGAATAATAGTTTATCACGCAGCATTTTCTTTATCCTGTTTTGGTTCATGTGGCACAGCAATTTACCAACACTTTCCACTCCATCTGAATTGGGACTTAATGGCTACCACCTTTGGAACTAGAATTCCACCCAGTGTGATGTAGTGGATACAATTATAGATTAGGTCTCAAGAAACCAAGTTTGAAATCCCTGTTTTGGCCAGGAAAACTCATGGTGCGGCACCGCTAAATTACTTCCTAAATGTCTTGCTTAACTTGCAAGCCCTGTTAGGATCACTATGAGTTGGTTCTAGCTTTATGGCACACAGTGCACACAGAATTTTAAAGCAAGTCAGGATATTCAAACGGTGGTTTAGGATGATGTCATGTGTTGCAGCTGAGAGTCATCATTTCTCAGTTTGGATAAAATGAGAAATGATCAAATGAGAAACAACTGTTAAGTAGAGGTATTATTTAGCAGCACTCTTCTCAAAGGAAAAAGTAAAGGTACTTGACAAAACTCTAGGTTGTATATCGGCTTATAAGCCTGAGATGTGATTGTCTGAATCTGTCTGTTCTCTTACAAAGTCAAGAATATTTATTTGTCCATTTGCTTATAATTCAAATTGTGATCATGTTGTGTTGCCTTTCCACTGATCACAATTAGGGACACTTTATATTGATGGAGACATGGAAGGGGCTAAAATGAAAAACAACGCTATTTCCTTCATTTAAAATCCAATTAGAATAGATTTCAACAGGAGGGCATGTTGTGCTTTCAGCTGTTGCAGTCAATAGCTGTACTAATTTATCATACCAAAATGTGACTGATCAATGCACAATTGCCCTCCTCAGGCCTTCACTCATAAAACAATGGCATATGGGAGGCAGAATAATAAGGTGACATTTAAGGGTAGTTCAATACTAAGCCTTGTTAACTGAGAAACAAGCCCTTCTATGGGAGAAATTTAATATTATTTCTTTCTGTTATAGGGTGAAATTGGAGAACCAGGTCAGAAGGGGAGTAAAGGTGACAAGGGAGAAAATGTGAGTATTTTCTTTTTCTTTCTCTAGCTCTTGCCTTTACTATATTGCCTTTCTATTGCTTGAGAATGAATAAGCGAGTGAATGGAAACATGTATCAGAAACCAATATGCTGAGCAAGCCAGAAAAAGGCCATGTTTTGGAGAACTGTTGACATTTCAAGCCAATAGAAGTAAAGGAATAGGGCTTCATATTCCTTTGTAGCATGTTTAAATTACAGCGTTATTTATTTTCCAATTTCTCTGCTGCCAGAGCTTTTTATTAAGAAGAAAGCAGGCAGAATCCTGATCCTGCAGCCTCTTGATTGTGTACATTTGCACACACTCTTAACCATATCCAGGTAGCTGACTGGATAGCTCCGTATCTGACTGTAGAGCAAGGGGTTGTGCATTCACTTCACCACTGTTCCTCCTGGAAGGACAGCCAGCCTATATAACCTTGAGAAAGCTGCACAGTCCCAGAGCTGCCCCCAGAAGAAGGGAATGGTAGGTATTCTCTACCTAGAAAACCCTGAAAAGGGTTGCCATAAGTCAGAATTAGCTTAATGGTGCTTGATAGTTTTTTTAAAACCAGATTGAGGAAAGAGGAGTAGAGTAGGCTCCGCTGGCTTCAGCGTTTAGCCTTTGTCATGGAAAATGCTCCATGAGCCAACTTCTTCATCAGCAGGCAGATTGTCTAAAAAAGACATTTTCATCTAATAGCGAGGAATTACTCCTGTTATTATATTGTGTTTGGGGCTGGCATCCAAAACTTTGGAATGACTTCATCCTGCAGTGTGAATCTGCTGAATCACTCAAAACTGCCAAACAATCCCCAGCCTTCCACCCAACCTTGGGGCTGGCACAGCATTCAGCATGGCAAGGGTGGCAATCAAATTCATTGAAGCCCACACAAAAGCCTTGTTTATGTTGGGTCCTTCTAGATTTCTGGCAGATGTACTAGGAAATTGTGTTTATTCCAAAATGACATTTGGAAATTTGGTAGCCTAGCCCCATGCGGTCTGTTTGTATATGTGGCTGATCTGCTATTTTTAAAACATTCGCCTATTTAAGCTATCTTGCTACTGTAATTGCTTTTCAGTTTGTCTTGCTGTGAACCTTGCTGCTAGCTGACAAACTGTTTGATGATGGATGCTTTACTATTATTGCTGTGTTTTTGTTTTATCAGTCCCTTTGGACATTTCTTTGATGGGATAAAGCTGTTTTAATCAAAGAAAACTAAAAAAAAAGAGGCATGGTGTGAAATATCTCTGTGCTTTACAAGTTTTCAAAACAAGTATTCCTTCCTTATGAGAAATACTATCAACAGGCCCCTTATGCTGAGCTGGAAGGGACCCTATGGGTTATTGGATCTGGCTTCTGTCGGGGAGGCACAGTGGAGAATTGAACTCCTAACCTCTGGCTCCACAGCCAGATACCTATACCATTGAGCCTGCTACTGTTCTTACTCTCATTCATTTAGTCTTTATGTAAGCACACATGCCAGTTTTTCTGATTAAAAAGAAGTTTTACTGCAATGCATTCAAGTCTTAATTTACTTTTATTAATTCAAGAGAAATCATAAAGGGAATGTTTTCAGAAAAATAATTTAGGTTAAAAAGAACATAGATTTTTGGGAGAAATTGTTTAGGTGTTTTTTTAAAGTATGGGGACAGTTCCCAAGTATCAGTTTAGATTCCTTTTTATTTACATGTCTAACCAGGACTAGCTGAAAACCAACTATATTCCTAATGCTATTTGCTAGGGTGACGTAAGTCATCTTACACAGATGCATTGCACATGGCATTCCCTCGGTTTGCCGCCAAAGTGAAGGTGAGGAGCAAAGCCAGTCCATTGGCTCTCTTAAGAGGCTAATTGTCATAGGCTTTTCCTTCCCTTCAGGTGTCACCAAACAGTAGTCATTCTGTCAAGCCTGCAGCAGAAAGGGGGATGAGAAGCAACAAACTCTACTGTGAAAGCAGCTTGTCTATGGAAGGGTTTCTAATCCAATGTGTTTAATTAAAAAAAACCACACAAAACCCCCACCTTTCTTCCTCCTTCATGCCTTTTTCGTGTTGTGTATTAGCCACCTAGAGTGGTCGAAATGACTAGATAGGCAGGGTATAAATACAATCAATCAATCAATCAATCAATCAATCCATCCATCAATCAATCAATCAATCAATCAATCAATCCATCCATCAATCAATCAATCAATCAATCAATCAAGCAAGGAATCAATATTATGGATCCCTGAGAGTCTGGGAAGTCTTGTTCCTTTTTTATTTACTTACATAAGCTGTTCTGGGTGCCTTTTGACCTGCACACATAAGTTTAACATGTTTTAAACAAACAAATAAATATTTAATATCAAAACTTGTGCAGGCACAAGGAGAGTTTGTGATGATGGAATATGATTTTAGCAAAAAAAAAAAAAAACATTTATTTTGGAGATATATCATGAAATTAGGCTTTTTCCCCCCTTTCTTTAGAAATTTCAGAAAGGTCTAATGTATTTTTAGTTCTGCAAAAGCCAGGACAGGTCATGATTCATGTTTGAACAGAAATCTTCCTTTAAACATCCTGAAATACTGCAAGCCTAATTACCTTTGATAAATGTCAGTTTCCAGTGTATTGTAGACAAGCAAGTCTGAGGCTTTCAGAGATGAGCAAATAACGCTTGACTGCCCTGAATGTAAAAGACCTAAGAGTAACAGTACCATCTCTCAAAAGAAATGCAGAGGTGCTTATTAGGCCTGAATAATGCAAAATACCAAACCCCTCCCTGTGGAGCAACTGCACATCTGATTTTAGATGCCAGCATTACCTTCTTTTCCTTTCCTTTCAGGGCCCTCCTGGACCACCAGGTCTTCAAGGTCCTGTCGGCGCTCCAGGTATAGCTGTAAGTATTCTGCTCGCTATGCATAACCAATGAGTCCTTGTTCCTGAATTCTCATTAGTTAGACCAAAAACTTTGGGCATAATTTATGTAGCTTAAACTGGAGAAGATCTTAAATCACATCCTCAAGGCGTCTGATTCTGTGCAGCCCCATGCTGGCTACCAGCTGCTGTCTTAAAGTCAGTTCTCTGCAGCTTCAATCTTACATGAGTTAAAGTTTCAAAGACATGAAGATGGGCAAAATGTTGGACTTTGGCTTAATGAATTCCAGGACACACTATTGAATTCAAATGGAATAGACCTTACTAGGAGCTGTTTTTCCCCATCACTTGATGACTGATGACAGATATTTGAATATCATAAGTAGGTGCCACTAGAAACAGATGATGTTCAATAATCTGGAAATTCTACCTGTGGTGTTAAGATTTCATTCCCACATTGAATGTGTGATTTGATGTTGCATTCATCAACTAATGAACATGTTAGGTGTGAATCTCCTCCAGGCCTCCTGTTGCTGATGTTTCAGAGATGTGTGGCTATAGTTAGCATTTCTAGCTTAGGTTTAGCAGTAGGGGCCCTTTTCTTCTATTGCATAATCATATCAGAAGTTAGTGTCAAAGTAAAAAATACTGTTCAATTAGTAATTGGGTAAGCTGATTCATAGCATTTAAAGGTCATCAGATGTTCTTTTTGGGCCACAGTGAGTCCAGAATGTGAAATACATACAGACTGCTTTTCCATTTTTTTTTCTTCTAGCGTGCACATGGAATGAGAATAATTTCTCACTCATCAGATGGCTTTTTCACTTAACTTTTTCTAATACATTCCAGAGCAATAAAATCAAAGATGGGAAAAGGTTTTGGTTTTTCACTACAGTTCTGCCTGGAGTATTCTGGGAGTCATAGTCCAAAAAGTAACTCTTCCAACCTGTCAATAAAATGTACAATTTTTGTGTTAGTTCAGATTGCTTTGAAAGACAGTGCCTGTATTGTGATTCACTGTATTTTATCAACATTCAGATCAGCAAATGTTATCCTTTCAGTTAAAACTTGTCAGTTGGGATATTGTTTTGTTGAATCATCCTATGGCATTACCATGACAAGCAGCTGAACACTCGCTCCATTTTATAATTTAAAATGTTTGTTCTGCAAGTTAGCAACTTTTATGGAATTATTTGCCAGGATGAAGTAGAGTGCAGACTTTAGCACAGTTAGGTTGCTTAAATGCAACTGAAATAAGTGGTTGTGTGTGTGTGTTTTTTAAAATAGCTTATGGAATGGCGGTGTTAACTCTGCAAGGTTTCTTCCCTACGTTTCCATGAGCAATTTTCTCAGAGGAATTAAGAGTTTAAAAAGCTAGAAATATGTGTGTGTGCATGTTTCTGTTAGCATAACCCCCCTTTAACCAACACCTGCCAGCTCCTAGTGCATTATCTGCATTAATCAATAAAGTTCATAACAAAATCTCATTTGGCAACTTGATTTTGACTGGGCCACTTTGTTTAATTGTATCTGGAGAACCCAATGCTTATGTTCACCATAACTATAAAATGAATGTAGCTCTCTTTTTGATCACTGAGTCTTACTCCAACCACAGTATTATTTTATTTGTAGAAGAACTTGTATCCTGTCTTTCTGGAGCTTACATATGCAAATAAATTTCCAAAATTACAATAATATAACAGTACAACAGATGCTATAGGTCAAGCATTAAATACAGTAATTAGAAAAAATATGATCCAGCCCCATGAAATAATCTCCCCTCCACAATACATCAGCCTTGAAGTCAACATGTTTTGGCGCTTTACTTGAAAGCAAATCTTTTTGCCAAGGCATGACTTTTCATGAACTGTATTATTGTGGTTTTATTGGATGATCATATTGTTTTATGCTGTTGTTGTAAATCTGTTTAAAATAGTCACAAATGAGGTGAAATAGAAATATTACCGTTGAATAATAAATAAATGTATTATATGAAACTTGATTTCATTAGTTTCAGCACCATATAATTCAGGATCAGAACACAATTTATATTGGTGGGATGTCCTCTGATTTCTACTTAGAGAGATCATATGCTTTAAATGTGTGCAATCTGTTGAAAACTGTATCTGTTTTAACCTGGTAGGGAGGTGATGGAGAGCCTGGCCCAAGAGGACAGCAAGGAATGTTTGGGCAGAAAGGTGATGAAGGCCCACGAGGCTTCCCTGGTCCTCCTGGACCCATCGGTCTTCAGGTATTCTTTCTTGGGCTTGTCCTGCCCCTACAAAATGAAGATAAAATCATTGTTTCAGTTTCTATTGTTAGCAATATTTTTTTACAAATTAATACTGAGAAAAAGTATCAATGAAAATACATCTAGTACTGAGCCATCTTTCCATTCTGGTGCCCTCCAATCTGAACATAAAATGCAGTTAGCATACCCAGTGGTCATACTATCAGGGCGATGATGGAACCTGTAATCCATTCGAAAGGAACCAAGTTGTGGATGCTTTGTCTAGAGGAGTCTTCCAAGCATGTCTCTTTATAAACAACCCATCGAACTAAGTTAATTGTACAGGCGAGGGGCTAAAAGACTCACAGGCATTGGCTGAAATCCTTTTCTGTAAGATGAACTGCAGAAGGCTGATATCATCAGTAACAGTGATTTTTCAGAAATGTAAGATCCCCTCCCCCATGCCACCCCTGAAGATCCCGAGGCTCCCTTGGGATTCCTTATAGCCCTTAATAGGGAAACCGCTGAGGACTGCAAGACTGGAGGGAATTCTTTATACTCCAGTGTTGCTGCTGACAATAAAATCATTTTGGTAGCAGCAATTTTGGGAAATTAAGGATGTCCCTCGATCTCGCAGCTCCCATTGGCTTCCCAGGAATGAAAGAGATCCCACAAGGGACTCTGGATCATTGAGGATACGAATCAGAAATCTTCCAAAAAAATAATAATCATAGAGGATGACATCATCAGCTTTACCCAACATAGCCCTGCAAACAGGATTTCAGCCTGTGATTAGGCTCAGGCTATGTAATGAATTCAGGGAAGTGTTAAATCATAGACTTCCTCAGCAGCCAAAATGATCAAGATCGCGTCAACGCCATATCGCCCTCTACCCATAGACTTCCTCAGCAGCCAAAATGCTCAAGATGGTAGGAACATCTTTATTACAAAGGAAAAATGAAGCTTGAGTTTCCTTGTTATTTTTAAACTAAAAAAAAAAAGATGACTCACAAGGCTGACATTAGCAGGCTGTAAAAAATATGAAAGCTGTGGAAAGAGTAGAAACTTTTTTTTTTTAAAAAAAGTTCCCTTTGTATTGATTTTTGTAATGACAGAAAATTAATTTTTAAATCTTGTAAATATCATGAGGTGGAAGAAATAGCTAGGATTATGCTGGGATAGCTCTGAGATTATACATAAATGGAATATCTGACCGGATGTTCTTAGATTACATGAAACATCTGACTTCGATTAAATGAACACATACATTTTTCACACTCACTCATGGTAGCAGAATGCCAGGTTTCTCGATGAAGTTAACACTAGATTGGAAACTGACAAAATGAAGTATTTTTTTACATGACACACTGTTGCCTTATGAAATTTATTGCAACAAGATCACTGTTTAAACAGTAGAAAAAGGTTTAGGTGAGTTGCTTGTTCCACCCCCTGTTGTTGCTTTGCTCCAATAAGAAGAAATAGTTCTGAACAAAAGAGCAGAACTTTTATGTCTGGCAGGTCTCCACATGAGCCAGAACACAGATTTTTCAAGGATCTGACTGGCATGGAGGCCCTCCATGCACAGGAGAGGCATTGTTTTGATGGAAGCAAAGCAATGGCAGAAGAATTAAGACTAGCAGGTGCTTTTTCTCATATGCTGATTTAACCCCTTTTCAACACTTGAATAGGGCAAGGATATGTGGCATTAAGTACAGTGGTGCCTCGCTTAATGATTACCTCCGCTTGGCAATGAGGTTTTTGCGATGTTTTAATGGGAGAAAATCACTTTACGATGATCGGTTCCCTGCTTTGAGAACTGATTTTTCTCTTAACAATGGTTTAAAAACAGCTGATCGACGGCTCTCAAAATGGCCGCCCCCTGTGCAAAATGGCTCCCCGCTGTTTTTAGGATGAATTTTTCACAAGACAGGCACCGGAAGATGGCTGCCCTATGGAGGATCTTCGCTGAACGATTAGGTATTTAGCCCATTGGAACCCATTGAGCAGTTTTCAATACGTTTCAATGGGGTTTTTTCCCCTGCTTGATGACGATTTCGCTCTACAGCAATTTCGCTGGAATGGATTAATGTCGTCAAGCAAGGCACCACTGTACTGGAGTTAGCTTTGTTAAAATATAGTGCAGCTTTCAGGGAGAGGCCACAGGTACCCATTGATAGAATGCATGCTTTAAATGTAGGAGGTCCAGGGTTGATTCCCAGGCACTACCCAACAGAAGCCTTGGAGAACGAGACCACAATACAAAGCTAAATGGCCCAGTGGGTTCAGTATAAGGCATCTTCTTGTAGCAGCTGCCAGAATCCTCTCAGCATGGAAATCTAACAACTATAGTCCCAGAGGGGGGGAGATAGCCCACTGTCAAAATGTGGTCCTAAATGGTCCTAAGGGTGATTAGTCTATCAAAAGAGGAAGTGTAACCTACAAGTTCAAGGGCACTTTACAGTGAGGTACTTCCCAGATGCTGGGGATAGAGTGAGGTACAGTTCCCATGAAAATGTCTGGACATTAAGACAGAATGCTAGCTTGCATGCCAGTGACTCAATCCTGCACACATTGTGATACCTTCATGAGTCTTGTGGATGTATGCCTCATGAGGCTAACATTCTATTAAGAGAAGTCCAGGAGGTGGTTCAGTCAAAGAATATGTTGCACACAACATGTGTTGGACGTGTAATATTTGATAAAAGATTTCATATGTAATTATGAAAATTAATACAAAGGTAACTTTAAAAAAAGATTTTTCTGCTCATTCTTTCCACATCTTTCCTATTTCTACAGATATGAAAACAGAACATATGATTATCTGTAGGTAAAAGCTCAGCATTGAAACTATTAAAATTGTAGTGTGACTGATGACTATTGCTCTCGCTAGTTAATTTGAAATGTAAGTGCACTTTACATTTGGTCTGCACTGAAAGGAGTAATATACTTCACCTTTGTGTATTTTAATTTAGTGAAATGCTACATGAGGGTAACCAGCCATTAGTTAGAGACTTAAATAAATGGCAAATGTTGTTGAATTATGTTTCCCTGAATCTCATTTTCCTTCAAGTGTACTGTTTCTGTGAACCAGGATACCTCAGATGCCGACAGTAATAAAGGACCATTGAACAATCAAGAGCTCTTGTTTGGTCACTAATTTGCTTCTCATAGTAACAAGCAAAACCCTTGTAGTACATATTCCTGTATAATATTTAATCACAGAGTGTATTGAAATGGTCTTCATGTTGTGTCCTATTTATGCCGTCCCTTCTACAACAAGCAAATATAAAACAAAGAATTATTTTAAAGATTTAGTTCTCAAAGGAAGCATTTTTCCAGTGGTGCTGCTTAACCTATAATATTCCCCTTTTCTTTTCTTCCCAGAGCATGGAAAATTCACTCTTTAAAAAGTAATTAATTCATGTTATCATTAATGGGGCCAAAAAAGCAGTTAACTATTTAAGCTGCATTTAAAAAAATTATATTCTCTTGTCCTGGTTCTTCAAAGTGACTAAAATGCCTGCCAAATAAGTTTGGTTTGGTTTTTAATTTGAATGTTGCAAATTGTTCATCTGTTGTTGTCGTTGTTGTTTAAAAAAGGAATGAGGCAGAAGTGAGTTGTATAGATACAAGTGGAAAGCTTCACAAATAATGGCTGACAAGATGAATGGTACCTCTGAAAATTTTGGGTTTCTTATTTATAATTAAGAATAAAGTATTTCAAAGTAGCCTGCAAAATAGAGGAACCAATACAACAAAGTAGTAGTAACACATCAGCAAAGGCAATCAGTGCTGGTGATAAAATCCTTCACAATAGAGACAAGTGCCCATGCAGCCTTCTTCTTCTGTACCACTGTGTGGAATAAAGAGAACATGAATGAGCATGCTATAGCTTCACATCTTTCAGTTTCCATTCTCATTCATTCATTCATTCATTCATTCATTCATTCATTCATTCATTCATTCATTTGCTGCCTTTCTTCTAATGAGTCAAAGGTGGCTTACAGTATTTTTAAAAGGAAGTTAAAAGCTAAATAATAAATTATTGCAAAATTTAAAAATATTAAACAGATATATTTTAAAAATCACAAATAAGAAAAATATTGAAAACACGAGTAAAACAACAGAATAAAATAATCCCTTTTTTTTAAAAAAAAAAAAAACCCTGCTTTGTCAAGCAGTCATTTAAAGGAAAGCCTGCCTGAAGAAAAAAGGTCTTTACCTCCTTGAGGAAGGGCAGTGAAGACTGGGCTAGCTTGGCCTGCCATGGGAAGGAGTTCCAGAGTCTGGAAGCAACAAAGAAGGCCCCATCCCGGGTCCCCACCAAACATACATGTGAAGGTGGTGGGACCCAGAAAATGGCCTCTCTTGATGATCTTCATGCACTCTTGCCATATTTGATGGCTGATGTCTCATGCAGGTACCATCTCGCATCTTGAGGGTCTCTACATAATAATTAGATTTCCAAGGTTTCTACATTATTCCAAGAGCCTTTTTGAGTGGAAATGGCTTTCTGCTTCAGACATTCTTCCCCCAACACTGCAGAGATGATGCAAAAAGTGGGAGTTAGGGAACTGACATACATGTGCCTGTCCTCTCTCCTTGTAGGAAGTGTGATTGTAATGCCTATATAAACCTTAAGGTAGAAGCAGTCTGGATCCACTGAAAATGAAATGGGCAAAGTTCCCAGTGGTTTCAGAGGTGAAAACATTTCAGCCCAATTATTCGCAAAATTATATTTGAAGATTGTGATTTGGCAAACAGCAATATACTTAACCTTCAGCGTATTTGTTCTCCCATGGTCTTTAGTGGTGCCATTTACAGATTTTAGAAGCTAAACTTGTATGTAATGTTCAAAATAATGGAGGATTAGTAAATCTGAATTACTAAGGGTGCATTTACAGCTCGATAAATCTTAATAGGAAACTGCTAGGTATGTTGTTAGTATCTGTCATGACAGCAAATTGTAATTGATGGGATAACCTGCATTCACAACACAGAGGTCTTTACCTTGTCTATAATAACACCTGTGAACAAGTGAAATATATGTAATTATTCATCAAAGTGCAATTATTTATAAAAGACATTTAGGTTATGGTTGCTTTAATCCTGATTATGTCTGTACCTCTTATGTAGCTAGATATTCATGGTGCGGCTTAAAATCCCACTTGGAATGCAATAATACAGTCTAGATAAATTTTGAAGACTGTTAAACATATATTTTTATTTATTTACTTCATGACTGAAGTCCTGATCATTTTCACATAATGTAAAATGATGCTGCCATAAGCATGATGGCCATTATGCCAGGCAATCCAGATTGAGCAATTAGATTGTTGCAACCCAATTAAATCTAAATCTTACCATTTTGGCCAATTGTAGCCTTATTGTCTTCAATGGGAGTCTACTCTGCCTAAATCCAAAGTTCCTAATTTAACTAAGTGGAGGATCAGATTTTGCATAACTCACTACTAAATATCAGTGTGGAGTTGCTCTCAGTTATAACTGACATGCTGTTGTTGTTGCAACTATAAATTTGATCCTTTCACTTTTTAATTTTTTTATTATTTATTATTTTTTGTTTTTGTAGAAGGTGGGATTTCAGCAACTGATCATATTGGTTACTGACTGTGCCAACAAGCATTCAGTGTATCATAAATAGCTGAAGATGTTACCTGCTTCTAGAGAAAGAGATTACAGAGGGCAAGATGCTGCTCCTACAGGATGAAATGTGAAAACTCCCATTGAACTTGACAGATTGCAACCTAAATGCATAACTTGCACAGAATTAGATCCTGTAGTTTAGATGGATCTGTAACAAAACATTTTAAATATGCCTTTTTAAAATGAAAGGTTTTGTAATCCTGTCAAGTCAGTGAACTTGTGAACAGTGTATAATGTATGCTCTGTTTAGTATATTCTGTGAATCCGCTTTCTGGACTGAAGCCTGTAAAAGGTTAATTTCAAACTACTAATTCACTTCTTAAATTTATGCCATTAACTGCACAAAATTATTTCACCCAGTAAATTGTGTATGTAGCTGAAGAGGCAGACTGTTCCTCTGAAATGATGGAGAGTTCGAGTGTGCTAAAAACCCACTTAGTGCATTTCTAAATAATTAAAACTTGCTGCTATTATCACTTGTTTAGAAACTGGTAATGAGACAATAATGGATTGACTCTACCACTCTACACCTCTTGCAATCAATGGATATATTTCAATATAAATATTACTATCCATTACAGCCCTTTTGTTTAAATGTAGCATAGCCTTATTAAACTTCCAGATAAGACAGGGTTGCAGTGGATGAACTGTGCTCATAAGAAGTTAAGTTGTCTCATTCATGCAACTGAGATCAGAAAATGGACTAAAAAATATGCACAGGTTGAACCCATCTGAACCCATCTGAGCCTAAGTGGTTTTCTCTTTTTCTTTCTCTGTAACATACTGTATCTCTTACCTACAGACTATACATTTTCTTCTGCAGACTGCTGTTTCTTCAAAATCAAAATGGCTAGTTTAAAATGGCTTTCAGGAGAGAAGTTTGCTACTCAGTACAAATCCAAAAATTCATTGCTCAGCAGAGCCTTTGGACATGCTGGTTGGGGTTTCTGATGCTGGTTTCTTATCTAGAAGCAATGCTCTCTTAAGAGGAAAAGATTGTCTGTTTATTCTAACACAAGCTTGTTTCTCAATCTACAATTGGCAAATTGAGTGGAGACAGCACAGTTTGCTTTTCATGTCTGTTCTCCCAGGCACACAACACCAAAATAATTGCATTGCCCAGAAAAATAACAGGGTAGAAGGAGAAAATAGACTTTGGCCTAGTCCGTGACCTGGCCCTGAGAATTGTAGACCTAAGAAATATTTTTTTCATGTTCCAGCTTATAGCCTTTGAATCTCATGTATAAAAGGCGCTCATTAGTCAGGGGAAAACATCAGGAAATAGAAGACACATCTCTAAAACCTTTTTTGGTCTTCTCACTGGCTGAGGAAAGAAGCTTCTGTTTATGTCTGTTTAGCCATGTCAGTGACACACACAATTACAGGATGTGGTACATGAATTTGATTAGCATTTTTTCCCTCAAAACAAATACAAATATTTGTCTTTCTAAAGGGTTTCTGTGACCTGTGGTGGAAAATTGGATTCTGCAGATAGATAATCTCAAGTTTCTTTAGCTGAAATCTTAGATGGCTGTTGCTATTCAGACAGAGCTAATCAAATCTCTCTCCTTCTCTCCCTCCCCCACATTTTTTTCTTAAAATTCTAAAAGCCTGTGAATAAGATCAGTATTGTTCCTAAGTTTTGGAAGACAAATTTGCCCAGAGTTCCCTGTCTAGGTTCTGGGAGGATTTTTAATCCAATTAGCCAATTACTAACACCCACTGTAAGAACAAAATTAGGCATCCTTTTAATAGCTTTCATGTTTCTAAATTGGACTAAGTGAAGTGTACTTGTTATTACTCATATTGAGACTCACTCAGCTTCAACAGAACTTTTTCTTTTTGCTTGAAGACTAGTAAGTTGTGAATATTAGGGCCTTCTGGGAGGATTTTTAATCCAATTAGCCAATTACTAACACCCACTGTAAGAACAAAATTAGGCATCCTTTTAATAGCTTTCATGTTTCTAAATTGGACTAAGTGAAGTGTACTTGTTATTACTCATATTGAGACTCACTCAGCTTCAACAGAACTTTTTCTTTTTGCTTGAAGACTAGTAAGTTGTGACTATTAGGGCCACATATATCTAGACTGGAGGTCCAGAGCACAAGTGGAATTTAGGTATAGAAAAGATAATATAGAGGGCTTTTACACATAACAAACGATATTCAACAAACTTCTGCTAGGCTCAAATGATAAAGTAATTAAGAAAATGTATGATTATTTGCTTGAAATTAAAATGCAAGATGAGATGTTAAAAGAATGTATGATTAGGTGGGCACAAAATATAGGACATGATATTGATAAATGGTTGCAAATATAGAAAAATAACATAAAGCTCACAAAATTGTTAAATTTCAAGGAGAACATATATAAGATGTTTTATAGGTGGCATATGACTCCAGAAAAATTGTCAGAGATTTATACAGAGGTGTCAAATGTTTGATGAAAGCATGAAGCACAAGAGGGAAGCTTTTACCATATGTGGTGTACTTGTAGAATAGCGAAACAGTATTGGATAGCAGTACATACTCTGTTACAAAAAATACTGCTTTGTAATGTTCCACGAACCCCAGAATTGTTTTTATTGAGCAATATACCAGACAATATAGATAAGACAAAGAACTACCTAGTTATATATATAGTCACTGCAGCCAGAATTCTTTATGCTAAGAATTGGAAGAAATCAGAGATACCAAAACAAGAGGAACTCATTGAGAATATATGGGAAGCGGCAGAAATGGATATTCGATCAGAAGTGTTGTAAGGCTGTCCATTACAAAAGGCAACTGAACGATGGGATTTATTATATAAATGGCTTGAGTCACTAGATAGTGCTTGAATAACATAGAATTAAACTAATATGTAACTGTAAGTTGAAACTTGGAGGGCAATCAAATTGTAAAAAGGCAGAAAGTCGACTTGATATTGCAACATGAGCAGATCAGATGACAGTACATTTTGTGTTCTCCTTCCCCCTCTTTTTCCCCCACATCCCCCTCTACCTTTTTTACTCCTTACCTTATCCCTAGTTGTTAAAAATAAAAAAAATTTAAAAAAATAATGTGGTCTTGCAAAGTTTGGATCAAAACGTATGTTTTGTATTCTCATCCATAGTTTTGATGAACTGGCCATATACTTACTTTCCCATACACTGTAATGTTAAGGAGAATGTTTGCCTTCAAAATACAGAAATACCTAAAACAGTGTCAAACGCTCTTGGACTCGAGCAGTATTCTGGCAATTTATTCCATACCAAATTAAGTGAAGCACATGAATGACCACTGAGAGGGTGTGTTTTAGATAGTGGTGCCCTAGTTGTGGAATATCCTTCCTAGAGAGGTTCACCTGGACTACCTAGATACTAGTGGCAGCAGATGAAGACTATTTTATTCACACAGGCCTTTCAAATCACTTATGGTCCTGGTTTCTGGATTTAAAAATAGTGTTTTTAGTTTTTAAAGAGTTTTTATTGTTTTATGTGCTATTTTAGTTCTTGTTTGAGCTGAGAGTACATGTATTATGGAGTGACTATAAAAATGGGATAAACTGATGAATGAACAAACAAGTACATAACTACTGTTATGACAAAGGTGTTATGATCCTTGTAGCTTCATATAAGAATCCTAGGATTTGGTTGGCAGATCTGCATAAAAAAGGTTTAAGAGGCACAAAATGACATTTCTTACATGCCCTAAACATTCAGTTCAAGGTAATTGTAAATTAAAGTATTTCTGGAGTACACAATTATATTTTAATGCCTTTTTCTTATCAATAGGGTCTTCCTGGCCCACCTGGTGAAAAAGGTGAAAATGGTGATGTTGGTCCAATGGTAAGTCCCACCCTTTTGTGTTTTGACAGGAATTATACTGCAGAAAAACAGGGGTCTTCTTTTTCCATAAGACCTTTCCCTTTTCCCTCTCTTGACCCTTAGTTTTAAGACTGTCAGGTGAGTCCCTGCTTCAGATTTCTTTTGAGGAAAAGTTATTTACCGAACCACTATCATCAAAGCACTACAGGAATAAATTCCTGTATTTTCACATTCTCTGTATTTGTGACCCTTCCCCTTGTTGTATGTATTGGAAGCTCTCGGATGTGTTTGTAGAATGGTACACTCTGTGCTGTAGGGTCTTGTGCTGATGCTCATGATTGGTAAACCCACTTTATTTGTTGATTATCATTTTTTTTCTTCTTTTCTTCAAACAGGGCCCTCCCGGCCCACCTGGCCCAAGAGGTCCTCAAGGTCCAAGTGGAGCTGATGTAAGAAACACTTTGTTGTTGTAACGATTTTTGCATTCAGATTTGCTTGCATTTTTGGAAATGTGCAACACGTGGCTTGACTTAAATATTTTCCTCACCGTAGGGCCCTCAAGGTCCTCCAGGTTCGGTTGGCTCCGTTGGAGGTGTTGGTGAGAAGGTAAGTGAGCAAAAAATATAACCATGGGAGGGATAATAAAGAATTCACATCAGTGATGTCTGACATGTTTGTTGCTTTTTCAAGTTAAATCCAAGTTAGTGTCCTGCAAGGTTGGAGAGGAAACTTTATAAATATGCAGAAGGGTCTGGCAAGGGCTCAGAATACAAAACAAAGCAACATGGGCTTATTGGAGGGAAGATACTGAAATCCCTGGAATGCCCTGTACAGAGTGTTCCCATTGTATCCATTACAAGAAGTAAACATTCAAGAGCTTCAGCTGTATCAGTTAGATGGGTTCAGGTCAAGCACAGAGCAAGAGATGAAATGGGGTGAGGGCATACAATATTATTTCCAGGAAAACTACGTAACTTGCCTCTTAGGTAGTAGAACTTAATTTTGAGAGCGATGTATCTCTTTTTTCATTCATCAACTCTCTGTTTTCTCATCAACAGTTAAATGTTTTTCATTCCATCAAGGTGCTGTTGTGGTCTGCTGCTTTTTGCTCCAAAAGTGAACACTTGATTGGGAGGATGGGCTAGCTGTCTTATCCATTTGTTTTTACTAGATATCACAAGGATTATCTGTCAGCTTTATCGTGGGACTGATATTGCAACAGTAATGCTATAGTAGTTCAAATGATGCTGCAAGGGATGCCTTGTCAAGTTCATGTGCTTATGCTCCAGAGTTTATCATATTTATGATACTGCATGCAATTTAACCATACATAACCAAGAAGCAGTGACAAATTTTGAAGTGCAGGTGTCCATCCTAATGGTCCCCATAGCCACCCTGTCCCAGGACAGCCGAAAATGCAGATGGTTGTATTGTTCCATATTATAAATGTATTGTTATGTTTTCCATCTCTATCAAGAAGAACTTTTCTGTAAAACTAATTGGTGTTATCTGCCTATTGAAGACTAAGACATCCCAAAGTACTTCATATAACAACAGGCGTAGCTCAGAACAATGTATTATTACTGGGAAGATTCCCCCATACTCCCCCATTATAAGCTATTGTATGGATTGCAATTAACCTCAGAAATAGAGATGGAAAGAATATCCATTAAATTCCTCATTCTTATTGATTTAGGCTGCCTGAACAGAAGGAGATACCTTGATAATGAATTTTAAAGTGAGATTCCTCTTCTACAGCTGAGAGGAGGGTGAAGAACTCCACCCTGTAATTTGTGTAAAACAAGTCATACCTTTAGTGTACATGCCCATGTGTATGCATGCACACACACACTGAGGGAGAGAGAGTAAGCACAGAAACACTGGCTTTGTTTTTAAGAAGAAAACCAACAGCCCACCTAATGCTTCAAATTATTAAATAAAGCAGCAGTTCTAATTTTGAATTATTTCCAAAGTTTGTGCAAGTGGTAAATTGTACAATTTTGCACAACCCTCTCAAAAAAAAAAAAACACGGCACTTTTTGCCCCACCCCCACCCAAGTCCAGCATTAGTTTTGCCTCTGAGAGGACTCTACTGAAATTCCATGTCAGCTTTTGTGAATGAGGTGAAGAATTTTGCCATTCTTCCGTTATGCCTCCAACGACGAAACAAGTGAGCATTTGGTTCTCTACCAGAAACCAACATTGCACCTAGACTGGAGGGCTGGAGAGGGAGGATGTTGTTTTCCATGCTAATCAAAACAGTCGAGTTCTGTAGTCTTAGCTCCACTGATCTACTGAACTTTGTACAATGTATGAATATTCCATCATAGTTTTAACCCAGACCTCATCTGACTGTTTGCTTTACACTAGTGGTTCTCTGCCATTTGTTCTCCAGATGGTTTAGAGATCATCTTCCAGAATCCCTCACCATTAGCCATGCTGGCTGTGGCTTCTGGGAACTGCAGTTTATAACATCTGGAGGGCCAAATATTGGAAATCAGTGCTTTAAAACCATGGTTCCCAACCTTGGGTCCCCAGATGTTCTTTGACTAAAACTCCCAGAAGCCTTCACCACTTGCTGTGTTGACCAGGATTTCTGAGAGTTGTAGTCCAAGAACATCTAGAGACCCAAGGTTAGAAAGCACTGCTTTAAAACATTATTAGTAGTCAGTGTACATGTGTTCCAACCAGTCATATGAATAAAAAGACATATTTATTTTAATAGGTTTTCTTTAGTTCAGCAGAATCATAAATGTATATAATTTTAACTTTTTGAGTCATTATGAAAAACATGCAAAAATGTTTGGAGAAGATGAAATCCAGTTAGATGTTCAGTTTCTCAGAAATATGGGTAACATACGCACCTCAGATTGAATTCAGTTACCAGATTCATGTTTTTTGTTTGTTTATTTGTTTGGGGGGTTTTATGGCCACTGGTGGTAGAAATCCAGCAGAGATACTGTAGGTTGTGTGAAAAAGTCCAGGTTATAATGGACTTGAATACTATTATGGTCTCAGCAACTTAGCTTTTTACAGTGTCTAAACTATAGCAACCTTCAAACCTCATTTCTTTACAGCATTCCATGTATCCGATAAAGTGGATTATATGTCACAAAACCTTCGAATAATGTTTATGTTGCTACATGACTTTTGGTTTGTCTTCTACAACAAACATGGGAGTAGGAATTCTGACGTGGCATTGGTCTGCAGTAATAGCCTAAATTTATTTCATTTTGTACTCTTAAAAAGATGGATATTTAAAACAATGGGGCTTTGATTACTTGGCCTTTCTTTTCTTTAAGCAGTCAGCTAGACAGCCAAGGCCTCCTTGAACTCTCCTTTTTCATTTCTCACAGCTGAAATCCTCTTTAAATTATTTTGCCTTTAAGCACAAGGAGTCTTTCCCATATTTTTTTTCATACACTACACAGCCTTTATCCCTCCAGGTGCAGATCTGTCACAGCTCTGCATTCAGAAACACTGACTGAAGTCACAGGTCAGTCAAAATCATTTGGATTTCTCATGGACCACTTCTTAATCACTCCCAGTAGGCAAGGCAGTTCTGTGTCACTGAGCCCCCTCAGGTACTTTACTTTTATGTCCAAATGAAGATGCAGCTACTTTTAGATGGTTTCCCCTTAAAAAAAACAACCAAGAAAATAAATAACCTGCAATTCACCTTACCATGCCCACACTTTTCCTGTCCTCTTGTAATCTTTTTAATGATATTTCTGCTACTCTTGACAGTTTTCACAAAACCTTTGTTCAACATACCATTCCCTTCCCCCATTATTTCTTTGTATTCCCTTCAAGCAAAGCCTCCCTTCCATTAGCATCATGTCAGAAGAACTCACAGGCGCCTTATCAAGGCATCCAAACTATCCTTTTCATAGAATCACTCCCAAAACTGCATCATTTTTAGAATAAATAACTTACTGGTCACTAGTGAAGCATGTATTGTGAGCTAACTATACTATGTATTGGTGCATCTAAGACATATAGTAATAAATAACAAATAACAAATATTTCTTAACTTCAGTAATAAATAGTGATGCTGACCAATTTCAGAGCTGCAAGACTTGAGAACTCACAGCCTGATCATTGAATCAGGAGCAAATGGATGGCACAATTCAATTCATTTTGTTGGGAAAGGGTGCTGAGAAGCACCCATGCTGTACACATGAGGACTACAGGGCATTTTCTGTTACCAGGTAACCATCTGCATTGTCATTTCAAAAACACACATGCACACTCTCTCTTGCTCTTACTCTCTCTTCCCTCCCCCCCCCACACATTTTCTTAGAAAGTTGAGGGTCAGCAGAGAGGGCGATTGGCAAACCTCCTACAAAGCTTTCTTTGGGAACTACCAGAAAAAGTGCATGGTCCAGTCCTTTACGGAGAAAGTTGAAGAAATGCAAATTAATTAGAATTAAAGCTGTGGGCCATGAGGGTGTCACGGAATCCCCTTTCACTACAAGTACACCATGCAAGGATTTCATAGATCTTTTATTATTATTTTTAAAATAGTTATGTAAATTATAGGTCCATTTTGTTTGTTCAGAAACCGCAGAAATTGGTCAGAAGATGTCTGCCCAAACCACCACCACCACCCCAAAAATAATTCAGAGTTGAAAACCTGGTCATTCTTCCAGCACTAATGAGATTCCTAACATTAATCAGGCCCACAATAGTTTTCCATTTCCCTTCCACTGTGCTTCTGCGGAGGCATATTTTCCCCCTAAAGTTCTGCTTCAAACTATGTTCATCATACGTGCATAATACAATTTGCAGTCCATTGTAAAAAACAGATAAACCTTAGGCATTCTTGCTCACATGATTGTTGACCGAGTAAGCATTAAAAACTGTGAGTTTGTGGGAAGGAGATCATCAGTCGATTCTTCTTGTTGTTTAGTCGTTTTGTTGTGTCCGACTCTTCGTGACCCCATGGACCAGAGCACGCCAGGCTCTCCTGTCTTCCACTGCCTCCCAGAGTTTGGTCAAATTCATGTTGGTACCTTCAATGACACTGTATAGCTATTTCGTCCTCTGTCGTCCCCTTTTCCTCTTGCCGTCACACTTTCCCAACATCAGGGTCTTTTCCAGGGAAATTTTTCTTCTTCACATGAGACGGCCGAAGTATTGGAGACTCAGCTTCAGGATCTGTCCTTCCAGTGAGCACTCAGGGTTGATTTCCTTCAAAATGGATAGGTATGTTCTCTTTGCAGTCCAGGGGACTCTCAAGAGTCTCTTCCAGCACCACAATTCAAAAGCATCAATTCTTCGGCCGTCAACCTTCTTTATGGTCCAGCTCTCACTTCCATACAACACTACTGGAAAAACCATAGAAATCAGTCGATACCAATGACTAAAGCCTGTTTCAAAGAATTTGTGAGTCTTTTCCAAACCTCTCCCTTTCCCTCTCCCTTTCTTTATATGCTCTACTTAATGCCATGTATTTTTTTTAACTAGTCTGTTGTCTTCGTCTGCCCTGCATGCCTTTTTTACAGGCTGAAGTGATTGAAATGAAATGCTGTAGAAACATAGTGTAATATTGAATGATTAATGCTTCAGAATAGACTAGAACTCTAAAGAGTCTCTATTACATAGCCTGCTTATAAATCAGATTCTTCCCAAAGTATACTCTTTCAGACCAGCATTTGGAATTTGTTACAAGGAAGAACAAAAGAATCAGAAGGAAACCTTCTGGCAGTGTACAGTATTGCTCTTGCTTAGGAAGTGGTTGTGGGAGACAGGAAATGGGAGACAGAATGCTAACCATGGATGGCATACTGGCGCAGCTGAATTGGTGGTACTTTCATTTCATATCTAATATTACAAAGACTGTTATGTTCTTCATTTATAAATTGAAGCTTAAGATGGTTCTTTGAGAGAAGGGTCCACACAGCTTAGTAACAAATCAGATGCTTTGTGTGTATAAGATTTTACACTCAGTCCTTAGATTTGCAATGACAGGGCTGAGATAGGCTTTCACCTGATGTCTTAAGAAATAACTGATGATCATGCAGGACAGGACTACACAAAGTGGCTTGATTCTACATCAGGCAGTTTATATGTTTATAATACTTATTTTGGCTAGGATAGATCTTTGATTCTATTTTTTGCCTATATCTGCTAGTTACCTTTCTAGGTTTTTGGGAGAGGAAGCTCTGTGTGTCTTTGTTATTTATTTATTTATTTATTTATTTATTTATTTATTTGATTTTTACCCCGCCCCTCTAGACTATGTCTACTCAGGGCGGCTTACATCGATTAAAAATACATCAATATAACATGCATAAAATCACAAAAAATACAATTATAACAATTGAATTTTATTTTAGTTATTTCCCCCTTGTGTGTGGAGGAGATATGTTTTTCTTGCTTCTAAGCTTTAAAAAAACGTATCTGGTTAATTTATTATATATACTGTTAAATGTGTATATTGTGGTAGGGACAGATTAGACTGTTTTGGTTGTTGGTTGTACTATTGCATGCTTTTGGAGTAGATTGATTCTCTTGCTTTAACTCTGCTTTTCAGGGGTAGTTTTTATGGTTTTCTAAAGACTTTTTGGACTGCTGCCATGTACAGTCCTAGTCTTAAGCCACTGTTGTACTTCTTGGGATCTCCAAGTAGGAAGACAAAGCTCCAGGAGAAGCATGATTTTTGTGTGACAGATGTTTTAGACCATGATCCCTGTCTCTACACTTTCAAGAGTTTTATGTGTGCTGTTTTAATGGCAGCTCTGTGTCTCACATAAGTTGCAGCTAAATCCTGACTTAGCAGCATACTGCATAGGTGGAATGTATCATCAGCTAGGTCTCTGAACTTTTTGATCTTTTGACTGGTTCACTCTGTGTCAAGGTCTTGCATTAAACTTATATTATACTGAATGATTTCAAATCAATTAATTAAGCTTTTTCATCACCTGCCGGTTGAAAATGACATGATTTTGAACTATAATAAGGCCTTCCCTGCAGGGCTTGTTTTTCCGGCAGGTGGTTGGATGATGGAATGTGGTAGCAGCAACAGCAGGAGCATCCACAATCCCCTTCACTGCTGCCGCCGCCAATGCACTCCTCAGTCACCACCACTGTAGCTGATCTAGCAGGTTGATGGATGGCATCCGGAAGGAGCATGCTGGATGGTAGCAGCTTTAATCCCTGGGAGGACACCCCCACCCCCACTGCTGCTGCTGTTGCCAATTTACTCCTCAGCTGGTGCCACCATGCACCTTCTAGCAGCACACACATTAAAACAAAAGTCTTTCAAGCGATTTCACTCTGGTCTGCAAATAACCCACAGTAAAAAAAAAAATGGCTAATTGCAGGTTATCTTCAAGAAAGTAGTTCCTGCCTATAATTCCTAGGAGCCAGTGGGATCAAGTACATGTCCATAGTGCCTTTAGTGTGCAAATATTTTATCAGCATTAGGAAGTAAGGAAAAAAAACTGAGAAAATGGGGTGCTTTCCCCCAAATGTTTGCCAAAAAGGCTCACAAATACCAAGCCAGTTTCAAAGCAAGCTGACGAGAGCTCACCCATCCTTCCTCGCTACTGAAATGATCTGTTTTGATTTTAGCTTGATTCTGAGTTTGGACTCCAGAGAAGAATAAATTAACCTAAGCATTTATTTATTACTGTGTAAATAGTTTTTTTAATGTAAAACTTGCATGCCATCTGGTTTACTAAAGAGCTCTCAGTACCAATAAATAGTGCTGTGTTTGCTTTTGAGACCTGCAATGATGTTATTTGTTGACGTGTTAGTTCATTAATTGTTGCAATGTTTATTTATTATCTTTCTCTAGTTTCAGCACTATCATTTTGAAGTAGTTCTTCTAATTCTCAGAAATTTACTTCTGAACTAAAAAAAAATTAAAAGATGAGAGTTTAGGCAGTAGCTATGAGGTCTGTTCCCCCCCCCCTTGATTAGAAATACAAGGGACAGTGTTTAATCCATTCATTTTATCCTGGATTCCCTTAGGGTGAACCTGGAGATGCTGGTAACCCTGGGCCTCCTGGAGAACCTGGCACAGGTGTAAGTATTCATCCCTTTAATTTTACAAGGGTGGTTATAACAAGGGCTTCAAGAGGACATCGTGTCTTATTACCTTGACGCAGGGAGCCCCCAAGATGCCTGGCTCCTTGTATGAGGTATATCAGGACCCTCAATGGGTCATAGCTGTCCTGAGCCCCATAAACTCTTTGGGCAATCTTCTCAGGTATGGATGATTTCTTTATGCAATGCCTATGGAAAATTATCAAGACTGCCTTCTTGTTAATGGTGGCCCATTCAACCCAATGAGTTGTTTGCGATGAAGAAACCATCTGGTTGATTGTGAGGCCATCTGGCATTTCTGGTGCTGATGTTGAACTTCCTCATGTTTTACAGCGTCAATATATCTTGCTACTGTATCTATGTATCCCCTCCCCTAAAAATTATTGGATATTCAGAACTTTCTACAGATGATTTTATTATAATTTGTAAGACTGTATTTTACATAGTTACTGAAATCATGCCTATTCTTGACAGGGTCCAAAAGGAGAAAGGGGTGAGAAGGGTGAGGCTGGGCCACCAGGGGCAGCTGGACCTCCTGGTATTAAAGGACCTCCTGGTGATGATGGACCAAAGGGTAACCCAGTAAGTGAACCTATTTTTGGAAGGGAGGGGGGGAGAAAGAAAGGAAATAAGTTTAAGATGTGATACAGCCCCATTTCATAAATGCGTTCTTTTCAGCATTTTCTAAAAACTCCACACCATATATCGTACTTTATTATTTGAACTTACTGTGTCTCTGATTAGTAGGTGACATAAACCATGCCTTGTTCTCTGTTTATCTAGGGTCCTGTTGGCTTTCCTGGTGATCCTGGTCCCCCTGGTGAACCTGGACCTGGTGTAAGTATCATGAAAATGCAAATTATGGGCAATTTTTTTGAATGGAATTCCTGTTGCCTTCACTGATTGCATGAGGCTCCTGGAAGTGTGGTTCAGTTAGTCAGTGGTTCCAAAAAGTTTTGGATTGATTGTGACAATGCCATTTGTGCAAAAAAAAATAATAATAGAAACAAACAAAACCATGCTCCTGAGAGTACCCTGCTAGCCATTTTCCTTTTCATGCAAGAAGAGCTGTCTTCCTGGTGTAAGTCTGTAGCTCTAACCTTACACAATTCGTACAAGGTTTTATGCACAGGTTGTTTTCTCTTTAATTTACACAGGGATATTTTGGTTTTTTTTAAAAAGAATCTATGATGTTTTGTTGCAGGTGGGTTATCCTTATCATTGCTGTGTTCTCAAAAGCAATGCATTACATTGTGCAGTATCTACATGTTTGGTTGCCATTACTGGCAGGCCAGAAAAATGCAAAGAAATATCCTCCCATTCTCTCCAGTGCCCAGAAAATACTTAGAAAAAAAAAAAAAAAAAAAAAAAAATGAAAGGAGACAAAGTAATACAGCTATGTTAGTCATAACTATTCATCTCAAAACTCTCTTCTGATCAATCAATCATTATTCCCTGATCTTCCTCCCCAAAAAATCCAGAGCCTGGGAAAGTTACTTTTGGGGACTGATTCTTTCAGAATCTTCAGCCAGCATGAACACTGACCATGCTAGCCAGGAGATTCCTGGAGGTATCATTCAAAAAGTAACTTTTTCAAACTCTTGACTCAGATGTAGAGCCAGACCCTCCATTGTACCATTCTTTATTTAACATGAACTTGAGCTCTGCTGTGCATTTCCTAGGAATATACTTTGGGCTTGAGTCTGTATCTCTGTTTCATTCTATGCCTTGTGGATAGTCCAGTTAGTCACTACTCTGATACCATGTGGCCCCTTGGCACCTTTGGAGGCTGAAACAGAAAAGTAACTCCATTTCCTTCTGTCCTCCTTTCCTACAACCACCTAATGGCCCTATAGCTTTTGGCATGTGGCATTTTATTTCAGGGTGGAACTACACTGCTGCAACTGTTGTCATATCACACCATGTCAGCCTCCACTACTGTATGGTTTAAAATGGTGCCCAATCTGTTTTTTAAATCACACATCCAAATTTGTGCACAAAAAAACTTTATAAAAATAAAATAAAATTGGGGGGGCGGGCGGGGAATGACATTCCTTTCATGTGACATGGGGCCCTGGCATGCCCACAGTGGCAGTTGAAGCCTACACATACCAGGTTAAAACATTTTTTTAAAGTCCTGAAGCTTGGTCATGTATTACAAGCAATATTTGTAGCTAGCCAGCAGTCAATACATTTTCTCTGGATTGATACAAAGGTGTAGCTCCAGCCTCACTCCTGTGATTGACAGTCCCATGACCAGTGAGGCTGAGAGATAGGAACTGGTCTCAGGTTATCCAGTGGTCTTGAGAGAGTAAATGGGGATTTCAGCCAGGGTCTTTCAATTAGTACCAGTTCTGTATTCTCCTGCAGTGCACTTGGGGTCCCCCCCTTTTTTTTCTTTTTTTTTTTTTGACGGAATGGTAATCAGAACATTGTCTTTCTCTCTTTCTGTTCCTCTTTCTTTCTTGGTTTCTTTCTTGGCCCTTCTTTAGGGAACTGATGGAACCCCAGGAGAAAAAGGTGAAGATGGAGATCCTGGCCAGCCTGTAAGAAGTCTCTATAATAATTTTTCTATAACAAAACCGCCTCATCTTTGTTGTAAAGCTGAATGTGAAAAAAATAGAATAATTTGTATACGCCTTGTTTTTGTAAAATCGCAAGTTGGTTTCCTTGGCCATGATAGGATGGAAAGTATATTTTGGCCTGCATCTGTGGATCACATTTTCATCACACATATCAGCATTTTCTCAGTGGTAAACAGGTGTGGATAATGGGTGATTAAGTATCAGTGAAATTCATTGTAACATGAATGTTTTTCATAGTCTGAACACTTCAAGGATTATTTCCAGAGTAAACTTTGTTTTGGCTATCCAAGGACCAAATAAGACCAGGTCAATTTAGGCCTGATATTATGCTGTGGATATTCTATGCACACACAACACTCTAAGGCAGTGTTTCCCAACCTGGAAGCCATGATCCCTAAGAGCATCACAAAGTCTTTTCATTAAAAAAATTCCTTCTTTGACCTTTCAGAATGAGATATTAAAACTAGCGTGTATGTTTATGTATGAGAAACAGGCCCTTGAGGGGGAGAAAAAAAACCCTCTACTTTCCGAGAAGGGATGACTGAACCCCATTAAAATGCCTTTATATGCAAACGTGATGGGGCGGGGTTTACAGGTTACTTGGCTATTATAAAAGGGGGTTCTGACTTGAAAAAGGTTGGGAATCACTGGTGTAAGGCAAAAAGGAGTACAAAAAAAATGGAGTGCAATAAGGCACACATTTCTCTGCCTGATGGGCAGCTCAGAACATAGCGACCAGGTTTCAGGCTTCGGAACATTCATGAGCATGCTGTGTGAAGACGTGGGGTAGGTTCTCATGAGCGAGCCCATAATCATACTGGCAACGTTCTGTGGGTTCCAATATGGGAGCAGTAAAATGTTGAACGATGCCTCTGCAGTAAGTACCAGAACCTGGAAAAATTATATTGTTTGGACTGTGCTTCCCAAATTCCCACAGCCAGCCTGGCCAATGACCATGTGGGCTGTGGCACTTGGGAACTAATAATACCAAAAAAAAGGTAACTTTTGTAAACTCTCGCAAATACTACAGAAAAGGTGCTGTTTCTCTGTTGGTTAACCTAGCTTATTATACAATATCTATATGTATAATTAAAAAAAAATCAGGGGTAGATGAAAGGAAACATTGACCTTTTTTTTTGTCAAACATTCACTTATAGTGGAGGTTCCATGCAATTCTTTACAATGACCAGCATGGGGAGGATCCCAGATCATGCATGCTGAGAAGTATTGCTATTGGAATGTTGTTCTTTGCTAAGAATGTCTAAGAATATCTATAGTATGAGATGAGATTTATATTATATTATATTATTATATTCTTGTTTGTTTTTAGGGTCCTCCAGGTCCTTCAGGTGAAGCAGGCCCCCCTGGACCTCCTGGAAAAAGAGTAGGTCATGCTTCTCTGTAATATTAATATTATTTCCCTGTGTTGGATCTTTGGAGGGTTTACTGAAAATACTCAGGTACAGTCCGTATAGAGGTGATACACTACAAACAGATGGGAAAACTGGGAGTTTTCAAATGGGAGTGAGCCTCTCATCTGAAAACTCCCAGTACTGCAGCCAAAACTCTGGTCAGAACCTGGGTTAAATTCTAGGTAACTGGCTCAAAACTGACCCAGCCTTCCATCCTTCCAAAGTCAATAAATTGAGTACCAAGCATGCCAATGTATAGCCTCCATAATTAAATTGTAAACTGCCCAGAGAGTGTTTTAAGCACTGTGAGATGGTATACAGTAGTACCTTGATTTATGAATGCCTCAGTTAACGTCATTTTCAAAGTACAAACAGAAATCCATTGAAAACAATCCCTCGTTTTACTTTTTTTTTCTGAGTTTTTTCGGTTTGCGAAGAAAATTTCTCCAGTGTTGCCCCTGTTCCTATGACAATCTGCATTCCAGTTTATAAAATTTTTGCTTTACGTAATGTCCCAAAGGTAAAGGTTCCCCTTGTCCAGTCGTGTCCAACCCGAGGGGGCAGTGCTCATCTCCGTTTCCAACCCATAGAGCTAGCATTTGTCCAAAGATTTATCTACTTGCATTTGCATGTTTTCGAACTGCTAGGTCGGCGGGAGCTGGGACTAGCGACAAGAGCTCACTCCGTTGCATGGATTCGATCTTATGACTGCAGGTCTTCTGACCTTGGAGCACAGAGGCTTCTGCGATTTAACCCGCAGCGCCAGCGCTTGAGTTAGGATGTACAACTGTATCGCAGTCCTGCACCAACTGGTGTGCTTGTGCACCTGATTTCACAAGCAGTGCATGATAGCTAACAAGAAGTGAGGCTGCAGGGTGTGCATGCCCATGGTTGTCCTTACGTGATTTTGTAACTCAACAAGCTACTTTTCTGCAAGAAGGGAAGAGAAGCTTGCAACAATATATGGTTGTCGGGAAAAAAAATTCCATACGCATAACTACACCCACAAAGTCCTGGGAGAACTTCAGTGAAGTGAGCTCAGGGAAACCCAGGGCAGTGTTGAGAAACCATCCGAATACCTGGTAATCTCAGAGTCCCTGTGAGCTCTGATTCCACTGCAACACTGGACTGACTTGAGCAACCAGGCAGTGCTTTCTTACCTTGCTTATCAGAAGGAAAAAAATATGCACAGGTTTTTTTTAGCTAAGTAAAAACCTGATGTCAATATACAATAACATATAAAGGGGATTACAACCTGCTTAAACAAACATAGTGTGCTTTATAGCTGTGTGTGGGATTTGATTGAGTGTTCAGTTGCATTTTAACTTGAACCAAGTTAGAAATGGAAAAAAAAAAGGTATACACTGGCTCCCTGTTAAAAGCTTTTAAAATTAGGCTAAACATTGCCCAACCTGATCTAATTTAATAAATCAGTGGGCCATGGAAGCCAGATATGCATTGTACACCCACAGAATATATGCATCTTTTTGCCAGAGGCAGCTGAC